GTTCCAGAACGCGACGATCCAGAGCCAAGCCGAGTTGATCGCAGTGCCGTCGCCCGTGCACAGCACCGCACCGTCTTTGAAGGCGCGCAAGAAGAGGGCGAGCGCCACTGGAAAGAAGGAGCGAGTCGCTAGCAGGGAGTCCGCCGGCCCAGACGAAAGCAGAGACATCGCCATCGTCGGCATTGCCGGTCGGTTCCCTGGCTCGTCCTCGCCCCAGGAGCTCTATCAGCTCTTGCTCGACCAGACCGAGGCATTGACGCATCTGTGCCCGGATTCGCCAGTCGAGGTGTTTCCCGGCGGGGTGTATGTACCGCATCGAGGCGCATTGAAGGACGTCTGGGAGTTTGATGGTGCTCGGTGGGGCATCAAAGCTGAGGAGGCTGAGTAAGTGTTCGTGACATGTGTGGTCCGCGGCGGCTGATGACCGCCACAGGGAGATGGATCCGCAACAGAAACTGCTCATGACCGTCGCCCAAGAGGCTCTGGAGGATGCGAGTGCGGTTCCGCCTGCTTCCGGACCGAACAAGATCGGCTTGTTCGTGGGAGCCGCTCCCTCGACCTGGGTTCCCAGTTGCGTGCTGCATCGCATTTCAGATCAGCGAACTGACCTTGTTCTTAGGCAAGCCAGACGAGGATGCGTTCCACCATGCGCACCGAGAGGCGCTGACGCCCTGTCTGTCGGCGCTGACGGCGTACCATCTGAACCTGCAGGGCCCGAACGTGACGCTCCACACCGCCTGTTCAAGCGGAATGGTCGCCATGTCGTTGGCCGTCGACAATCTCCGCTCGAAGACGTGCGATGTCGCACTGGCGGGTGGAGTGTCGGTTGCATTCCCGCAGTGCGTACCGAACACGCTTATCGCCGCCGGCAAAAGCACTCACCGTTTGCAGAGCGGGATATCTCACTGCGCCGACACGCCTGTTCTCGCCTTCTGGGCATTGCCGACCATTCGACTCGCGATCCGACGGCACGCTTCCGGGAGACGCAGTCTGTGCGCTGGTGCTCAAGCGGATGAGCGACGCTGTCCGCGACGGGGACGATATCTACGCTGTGGTCAAGGGGATGGCCGTTGGTTCGGACGGGAAGCCTGGGAAAGCAGGACCGACTGTTCCCAGCCCGAGAGGACAGGCGCAGAGCGTGAAGGGCGCGTGGATGGATGCGGGTGTCAGCGCAGGGAAGCTGGTCTATGCGGAGTGGGTGTTGGATATCCAGGTTGCGCATGTCAACTCCGCTAATGTTTTGCACAGACTGCACGGCAGTGGAACACCGATCGGCGACGCACTGGAGCTCGAGGGCTTGAAGATGGCCCGACGAGAACTCGGGGTCGAGAAGACGCCGTACATTGTGGGATCGAACAAGGGGAATCTGGGCAACTGCGAGGTGCGGGACCTGATCTCCGTCTCGTATTGACAGATTCAAACCCCTTCTCAGGCTGCATCTGGATTGGTCTCTGTGATCAAGCTCGTCAAGTCCATCCAACATGGCGTGGTTCCCCCGCTGCAGTCCTTCGAGCAGCCGAACCCGGTCATCGACCCGACGCTGAAGATCTCGTTTGCCAAGAATCCCGTGCGGTTGTCTCCCGACGCGCTGCTCAGTGCATCGAGCACGGGTCTCGGCGGCGTCAACGCTCATTGCGTGCTGGCATTCCCCCCCGCCCAGCACAAAAGAAAGGCGTCGGTCGAGGCGACGTTCATCAAGGGTCCAGTCGACGTGTCGGTCGAGGTGCCCAGTCCGAAAGCGAGTGTGCCAGATGCCACGTCGGCTGGTCATCTCGTGCTCCGTCACGTTCGATCTATCCTCGGCACGGACGAGATCAGCTCCACGACAGTGTTGAGGGATGCCGGGCTGGACAGTCGAGGCCAGATGGCCCTCTTGCATCAGCTGCAGCAAGCAGGGTGCCACATCCCGTGCGTGCCTTCATTTAGAACTCGTCTCTCGGGCATTGACCGAATCCCTGCAGTCTCTCGGCGTTCATCGACCCATCGTGCACGGTCGAGTCCATTGTGGCGTCGATCAGTGCATCGCTTCCCTCCTACATCTCGTTCCTGCAACAAGCTCCGACGGGAACGACGTACGTTCTCATCGCACCAGGAGGCGGCAGTTGCCTGTCGTATGCTGCGCTGGCGCGTCATTTGCCGGCCGATTCAACGATCATGGCGCTCGATCACCCTGCGCTCCACGGGATCGACTCGGACTGTGGGATCGACGACCTCGCCAGGAGATACGTGAAGGACATGCCGCCCACTTGTCGCGATGTCGTGCTCGTGGGCGCCTCGTTCGGTGGTCTGGTCGCAACGGCGATGCTGGGCCCGATGCAAGAAGCCGGAATCCAAGTGCGGGCGGTGGCCCTCATCGACAGTCCGTTCCCAGGATCCACCCCCGCAGACGTCTTGCTGACTGCGGATGCGTTCGTTCGCAACGTGTTCTCTGCGGAGTCGAGGCCCGCCTTGTCTGCCGAGGAGACGACTCTCGATCTTGCGACGTTCGCCGCTCGGCATGGCAGCGATATCCGTGCGCTGGCCGGGACGTACGAGAAGAGCGTGAAGGCGATGGCCGACTGGTTGCCGTCCGGACCCCACGCCACCTCTGCGCTATATGTCGCTGCGGCAACCAACGAGGTCGACGAGCGCTGGAAGGCGGCATATGCAGGGATGTCCGTCGAGCGAGTCGAGGGGGAGCATGCCGGTGCGTGGATTGGAGACAACGCCTCCAAGCTCGCTGGGTGGATCGGAGGGTTGCTCGCCGCTCAGTCGGCCTCATAAAATGTATTATCTCTTCCAGGGTTATCTCCAGTATAGAATGTTTTCATCACACAATGTATATCCACTGTTCTTCTCTCATCTTGCGAACACGGGTCTGTTGCTGTTGCTTCCACCTCCGGCCTCGCCGTTCGTTTGGACGCTCACCACGTCGACCGATGCAACACGAAGGAACACCGCCCGATCATGCGACGCTGCCGTCGGGCGCTCCAGAGTCGCGATGACGACGCGCACGGTGTTGGTGGTCGGCAGTTCGCACGGGTCAGGATCGAGCTTCATCCTTCTCCCGGAGTAGTTCACGAAACCTGGCGACTGGAATATCCCAATGCTCCGCGTGGCTCAAACACATGGCATATGTGTATTAAGTTCACTGACAAACTCCCCTCACCTAGTGGCTGGCTGGCTGGAGGCCCGAGCTGTACGCAGGTCTTAAAATCTCATGGACAGTTGGCGACAAGCTGGCAGCCAGCTGCTACCTCCAGCCGAAAAGATTGCTGGTGACCGCCTGGAAGCCTCAGGTGGTCGTGGGCTGAAGGTGTTATGTCTGCGACATAGATCATGTGACGAGCATCGCTTCGATAAGATTTGCTTTTAATACCGTACTGTTCCCACCGGGGGATCACGCGTAACATGGCCCATAGAGATTGAATTCTATTCCATCTATTGTCACTGAAAAACTTACTTGACCTGATATGTCACATATCAGAGCATAAACTGCATTCCCAGGGTAGGTAGTCTAGCAATTGTTGTGCATTGCCAAAAGGGATCCCAGAGGACCTTTACAACAAGATGGAAATGTTGTTCAAATATCTTGAAAACATGCCCAGAATCTTGACCTTTCAACATTAAAGAGGTTTGTGTTTGTGACAACAATGTTTTGGCTGACAAGGTGAATCAGCGTCTCCGCGCCAGGAGCCAGGAAGAGGACATTTGGGGATATGATTCACATGGAAATGTGCTGACCAAGGATACATTTTGGATACATACATGAACCTCCCTGACAAGGATGAAGAAATTCCGATTTTTTGGTGATTTTTGGCCCTGTTTTGGGCAACCTGCACTCACTAGCAATGTTACATATTACGTATGGACAAATTAGGTGATGCAAAAAGGCTGTGTTACGGGTTGCCGTTGCCTCCATACATGCCGGTACAGTAGTACACACAACCCAACCACCTCCCCCAACCAAGATAGATGCCCAGAAAAAAACCATACACCACAGGATGAGACTAGCCCAGCACTGCTTGTGCCCCAAATTTTGTAAATGATCACTAAGCAGATGTCACAAGAAACTAAGCAGTACCAGATATACTGGCTCAAACCACCAAAAACAGACACACAACCTAATTCTGACCAAGAAAATAGAAAAACAAATGGTACAAGAACCAGAACAACCCAAGAGGCACAAAAACCCATTGACAAACGCTGGCAACCAGACAACACAAAAAAAACCAATAACTGAGACAGGAGTGTTCCATCCAGCCCACCCAGTTGGTGTTGCAATAACCAGGCCTGATGCCAACCCCACCCCACCAGCAAACAAAGCAGACAGCCCCAGCACTATGGAGGCTCAAAACTACATGCTGATAACCAAGATGCATATCAGTGATGCAATATGTTGTTGAACTACAGATCATATGTTATTATGTCAGGACCCCAAAGACTGTGAAACCGCATTGAGGCATCCAGTGATGATCAGAATGATCACGTGCAACAACCTTGACGAGCTTGCTGACAAATCCATTGAGATCTTTCAGTGTACATGATAGATTGATTTCAGGGCTAGGGCGCATCACTGCTCGTCAATGAACAGGTAGAGATACAGACAGCTTTGATATGTAATCAGCACTTGTTTCCTGGGGTCCCTGTAGTATGTACCAATATTTCAAATGTCTGGAGCATTGTAGTACAGTGTTAGTGTTTTGATTCAAGCTGCAATGAAATTGAGGAAGACAAAGACAATGTCCGCCCTATGCTAAGCTTTGAACTACAGACCAAACTCTGATGCGGCAGGTCTCTCAATCCTCACTCTGGAGATCACTCAACCCAAAGAACTTGCAGTACCCAGAGCAGACATGTTGTTCCGGAAACTTCTTGAAGAACGTCCCTGAGTTTCCGCTGCCGAAAAGACCACACTTCAGAGTCTTAGGGAAAATCAGACATTTTTAACAATGATTGATCCAAAACTTATGGTGAGGTCATGACTTGCAGGTTGGTCAGGAGTCCGCCCAATCCTGGAATCAAATGAGTGAGATTGTAACGCACGGAACATGTCTATGACCTTGCAAATCAGAAAGAAACACAAGTTTGCCGGTATGCTCATATTGAACATGTTGTGTAAAGCATAGGAACACCGTGATCGGGTGCAACTCCGGGTCAAGACTTGCAACAGGAAGGGCACTGTTGTTGTTAATGAACTTGATGAATTTTCCTGTTGAACAGTGAGTGAAAGTAAATACTTGTGACGGAAAGCTTGATTACTTATCTCAATCATCTCCTCGATCAAGTAAGAGCGCAGAAGAGAAGAAGTATTTTTGCTGGAACTTCCTGTGGCTGCAGAGTTGTGAACCAGTGCTACACCTGCCTTCACAAATCAAATGGCGTAGATTGAAAGTTCTGCAGGCGGCAGAGAATGCTTTGAAATGTAATCTTGAATGAACAAGTATGTGAAGTTCAGTAACGTTGTGCCCCAAAAGAGTAGATTGGCCTCTGAGGTCGTATGTTGAAACTCCTTAACGGGGCTGAAGTGCTTCAGGGTGTGCCTCTTGGTAAAAATATGCTTAAGGGCCACTAGCTGATTTGGCGCTGCACCCAAAGGTGTTGACAAGAGTGAAGCCAATGTGAGATAGGCGGAATGCGCAAATTTGAATGTTTCAACACCAAGCAGCGGCAGGAATGTCTTGAGGGACAGCGAGCCGACTTCCTCATCAGCAATATCACAAGTGAAAGCTTTTGCACTTTTGGTCTGTAGTTCAAAGCTTAGCATAGGGCGGTGAAATGCTGAGGGCGCGCTCACAGGTGAATCTACTGTGAAGTAAACCCAAATATAAACACGTTCACACTCCTCGTAATCAGCTTCTCAGTGTGTGAAAGATGCGAGGGCTTTGGGGTGGACAGAGCACCAGTATCACAACTCTCAATAGATGCAGATCCAAAAGTCGCGGAAGACAAAGTCGACAACAGGAATGTATATATAGTAAACAGTGGTGTCTCAACCAATATCTTCTATACGACCAAAACCAACACTAATCCAATCCACAACCAACAATATCACAAGTCAGAGCTTAATATGAAGTATTAAGATCCCTTGTAGCGACAGCGTCCAGATGGCGACGCAAAGCCCAAAATGTCAAGTCGACGCACTGCCAACTGAGACAACCAAAGTACTGAGTCAACACACTGCCAACTAGTAGAACCAAAATGTCAAGTCGACGCACTGCCAACTAACAGCCAATATCCAATGTCCAAAACCCAAGCACAACTTGTTGACACACTGCCAAGCAAGAAGTGTGGAACCAAAGTTCTCAAGTCGACGCACTGCCAACTGACCAAAACAACCCAAGCACAACTAGTTGACGCACTGCCAAACTAGAGGTGTGGGAACTATCTCAACAAAGCCCAAAGGCGACGACACTAAATGCCGCGACAAAACCAGATGCGGCGAATCCGACTTTCTGATATCTCAACTCAAACTCAAATCACAGTAGCTACAAGTGCTCAGGGAGCAACTCGTCGCAACCAGGCAGGGGTAGCAGAACTTCTTAGGGTGGAATCACGTGGCATGCAAATTGCACAAAACAATCTGATATGAGAGTGATTCACAGTCCGGGGGAAAGCTTTCTAATACAAAGAGACGACGTGCTACTTATACTGTCTACGACGCTGCTTAGTAAAGTCCTGTACAACTGCATAGTAGCTACGCTATCTAAGATCGGTTGCCTTTTAGGGTAATTGAAAAGTTGAACGATCGGACAGGTCCTGAGTGATCAGGACCCCGCCCCATAGTCCATATGGTACTTTTGATGTGGATCAACCCACCGCGTCATACTTTTGGAATACAACGTGCTGGATTGGCCAATGGGTATGGCTTGGCAAGTGAGTCCAATGTGGGTGCCCCAAGAAGCCGTATGGTCCTAGGCATGCCAGTCATTCCTCACATGGTTCGGTTCACGGATCTAGCCCGTGTCGCTTTTTAGTGTGTTTGGGTATGGGCACGACTCGCCGTGACACTTGGAAGTGTCACCGCGACGCGTCCACAATGTCCCGTGATCGAGTGGATCCTGACATGTGACAAGTCGTCGCTGTGGCATGATCTGAGGAAACGTCCAACCCAAAACCGGGAGTTGCCGCAACAAGATTGGTTCAATCTTGTAACGCCAAGTCCTGTCCAGTAGTAGTTGTAATATTGAGAACGTCGTGCATTGCTAAGCCCTTCAGCCCAAGTTCCCATCTGCAGAGAATGACCCTTTTGAGAAGTCGCCGCAACAAAGGATCCCTTTTGGGGTATTGTCGCGGTGCAAGTGTCCATCACTAATAGCCCTGAGCCTGATGTAGACTCATAAGACCAATTCCACAGTAGTGGTCTGACTGCCTTGCCATTGTCAACACTATCCACAGTCGTCAACTGGGCAGCAGACCCTTAAGTCCTACTGAGGGTAACACTGGCAACTGCAACATGATACACCGAGTGGTTCAAGAGTAAACTCTGTAAAAGCGCCAAAATACACCTTTACAGAGCTGGTGCAGAGCGTGTCTAGTAGCCAGCCTATCACCGAGCATGTACATGCCAATCACCAAACACACCGTCTTGGTGGCCAAGGCTGCGCGCGCCCAACACAACGCAAAGGGCAAGGGCAAGGCTGTGGCCGTTGTCATGCCAAATGCGGATGGAGACAAGTCAAGTTTCAGATCGGAAAATAGCTTGGACCGCATGAGTTTGCCCTTCCATCTTCCCCACCTGTCTTGGAATTGCCTCATAGAGGGCACAATGTCTTACCTGCCTTTTGAAATCACATCGCTAATTGATTCTGGTGCCCATCTAGCCCTAATCGACTCTGACCTCACTGAAAAGCTTGCCTTATGACAGTTTCGCCTACACAAACCCGAATCAATCACTCTTGCAATCTCAGATTCCAAAAATCAATCGTTCATTGACCTTATGCATTATGTGAAACTACATGTTACCACCCAAGATCAGACATGGACATTGTCCACTGTACGCACTATCATCTCCCTGTCCTTGTGTTTTCCTGTAGTACTGGGCCTCACCTGGCTCTTGCATAACCATATTGTAATCAATCATCACGACTGGACCATTGTGGATAACAGTCTGGATACAACTTGTTGAATCCCCCACTGGTTCAGCAGTGTACTGTACCGTTGACTTCACAACAACGCATGAAGCAGGCAATAGCAAAACACAGAGATATGATCACCAAGCTCACAGAAGTTTCCGCAGCAAGGCAAACAGAAATAGAGAACGCAAACATCTTTGAACAAGTGAACCCAGTGGATGTCATTGCAGCAATAAGAGCTCGCATAGAGACACTGTCACACTGGGACGCCTTGCAACAATGTGGGGAAGAAATGAAATGCAAATATGCAAGCATCTTTGAGCCAGTACTGCACATTGACTCCCTGCTCACAGACGTGACTTGCGAGATAAAACTCAAGGATGCGGACTTGACGTTCAAGACAAGGAACTACCAGAGCCCATGCAAGTATAGAGAGGCATGGCAAACCCTCATTCAGAAACACTTGGATGTGGACAGAATCTGACCATCATCTTCCCTGTATGCATTGCCCGCGTTTCTGATCCCAAAAGCAGATAAGATGGTGCTACTGCGGTGGGTAAACAACTTTTGCCAGATCAACAAGGACACCATACAGGACAAATTTCCATTACAACGTGTGGACAACATTCTGGCAGACTGTGCAAAAGGTTCCATCTGGTCCACAATTGACTTCACTGACAGTTTCTTCTAAATGCGCATGCACCCAGACTCAATCAAATACACAGCCGTGAGTACCCCGCTAGGCCTTTACGAATGGCTTGTCATGCCCAGGGTCTACGAAATGTGCCTTCCGTCCAGCAGCGCCACGTAACAGCAGCACTGCAGGAACACATAGGCAAAATCTGCTATGTATACCTTGACAATATTGTCATCCGGTCTGATTCCCTGGATGAACATCAAAAGCACATCAAAACAGTTCAAAGGAGCTGAACTAAACTACCCTGTGCACAAGAAAGAAATGTTAGCCATCATCCACGCACTACATTACTGGTGAGTGGATTTGATTGGCTCACCCTTCACAATTACACTGACCACCGCACCTTGGAGAAATTCAAAAACCAAAGGGACCTTTCAAGGCGCCAGGCATGGTGGATGGAGTTCTTGAGCCAATACAACTGTAAGATTGCTTACATCAAGGGCAAAGACAACACGGTCGCAGATGCTCTGTTGCAAGCCAAATTTGCAGATCCAAACACAGAGAACCTGGCAACGGGACGTGCCCAGGCCAAATCAGCAGTTACAGTAATGCTACCCCATTCAGCGTTTACAGCGGTACAAGCCCTGGCATGCACGCGGACTCACTCAAAGTCGATCCTGCCGTGCAGCTGCTAGTCCAACGTAACCAATGGCATCTATCCTCTGGGTAACTGCAGACGCAAAGATCCTTGACAGAATATGCACAGGGTATGCAAAGGACCCGTGGTGCGCAAAGCTGGCAACTGCAGCAGAAGACATGCCAAATCTCGAATTCAGACTGCTGGAACAATTGTGGTACATCTTGGGCAGACTAATCATACCCAGAGTAGATGACCTGCGCAAAACCTTCTACCGGCTGGCACACAACAACTTGGGCCATTTCGGATTTGACAAATTGTATGTGGCTCTGAGAGACACGCATTACTGGCCCAACATGCGATGCAACCTGGAAGCAGCCTATATCCCCATGCGCGCAGACTGCCAGTGGAACAAATTACGCACAACCCGCAAAGCCGGCCTGCTCCATCCATTACCAATCCTGGATGGTCAAGGCAATTCAGTGGCTCTGGACTTTGTGGGCCCTCTGCCAATGGAGAACGGTTTCAACTGTCTTCTCACAATCACTGATTGCCTTGGTTCAGATATACTGTACTATTACGACCGAGTATTTAGGTCACAGGTCACAGGGACCAATGAACTGAACACTTTAGATACTGGTCACACGTCACCCAAGGTCTTGAACACTGACAATCAAGTTCCAAAAACTGTATTTTTTGCATTTTTTGGAGCAGAAACTGCTTCTACAATGTAAACTAGTGTTCTTCGCACATTCCCAAGCCTCCAAGCCAACCAGAGGCAACCTGAGCTTGTCTTGAACGGTACTGCGCTAAGGGAAGTGATTCAGCATCAATCTCTGCCTCGGTGTCTACTGCTACACCCGTGCATTGAATCGACGAGTCTTCATCCATTTGGTAGCCATTGGGAAGGGATTTCAAACTGGCAGAGATGACTTGACCAATCACAAGATCAATAGGCGCATCAGTTTCGTCGAAATTATTGTTTGATTCCTTCCCAATGAAGAGATCCGTTGACTCAATGTCTGAACTCTTGTCCTCCCCACCAGTGAGCTCTTGGTAGAGTTTCGGATCGGATTGGTAGCGTTTGCAAATCGCATCCAATGCTTTGCATGATGTCATACTTGTCTGAGAGCAGTCAAAGTCCCCGACACAACACATCTCAAAGGCCTGAGGTCAATTTTAGCACAAGATATGATTTTTAGAAATGCGACTTGCCTTCAAAATCAGCTCCCTCTTCTTACAGTCATGGAACGCCTGAACAATCCATCCAACGGCGCAGTTTCTCAGTGTCCCCACAGTAGTATCAATGTGGAAACGATGATGCTTGTTGCCTTTTGGATCAGACGGCAATGATGTGGTGCTGGAATCAGCTGCATGGGACTCTGCGTCCAAACTGTCACTAGGCTTGTTGTTGCTCAATGAATCCGCATCTGTAAGGGCAACTCCTGCCAGCCTGAAGGAAGAGAGCACACAGCACACAACAACCTCACATGAGTCTGAGCACAGAGAGGGATCTTTAGAGAACGGTTCAAGGATCCATGTGCCCAGGTGTCACACTATATAGTCAGCTGTGACAAGTGACTGATGATGATGGGATATCACTGCCATAGAACAATGGCAGATGACAAGTAGATGATGACAAACCCGGATAAGATAGTGAGTGACTCAGAGGGGCCAGTGATGGCCAGCCTCTGAGACACCAACAGTGGAAGCCCACACTGGAGAAGCCCAGTGGCCAGGCCAGTGCCGGGCCAGCCAGTGGAGACATCGGAGGCAAGGACCAATGCCCGACTGGGAAGAGGGGTGGTGTGGATGAGCGCAAAGGCATCTGGTATGAGCCTGTATGGCAGTAGACCACATCCGCGGGGAGAAGGCCAAAGTAGAGGGGGAGGAGTGCGTACGGCAGTAGCACTCCCTGGTGCAAGGAATCAGGCTTGGCTAGACCGCTTGCAGGGATTCGAAAGAGATGGCCGGGGGAAGGAGAGAGAGGGCGGATGTTGGCACGGATGGAGATAAGGATCGGAGGAGGAGGAGGAGGCAGGGTGATCAACAGGTGAGCAGGCACAGGTCGGCAGAGAGGGCGCAGTTGGTCACGTGCATGGTCATGTGCCCAAGGAGCACGGCGTCCCCTGACAAATACGAGTTGATCTTCCCGGTACGTGGAACAAGCTTGGGCTTGGGAGGAGTGGGCACTGGAACAGTGGTAGGACCAAATACATCCGGCGTGGAAAGGGGAATGATTGGGGAACACAATGTTGTAGACTTGGGCCCATTAATGGATGAAGAGAACGTTAGCGGTGGTGGCGGCTTGTCTCTCTCCTTGCCAGCCTGCCAAACACGCTTCTTGACCAGACTAGGATTTGGTGTTGGCGCATCCTTATGATTGTTGCCACGTTTGAGGGAAAAGATGTTGTCAAATGGCAGTGAGGTCGTCTCAGATGCCATGCCCTCATTCACAGGATCCATGGCTGAACGGGACAGACTCTGGATGCTGAACTTCGCATCGCGTACGAGTTTTTTCAATGATGGCGGCGGGCGGTGGGGACAAGGTGAGGAGGATTCAAATAGATCAACATCCTCAAAGATGTCAGTGGGGCAGAACGAAGCATTCTGTGATTGTACATTGTCAGAAATCTGTCAAAGCACAAATTCATCAGCTAGATTCTGCAGGTACAATGAAATGTCTTACGCGATTGACAACTCGATTTGAAATCCTATTGAACAAGTTGATACGTAGGAGCAGAACATTGCTTTGAGAATAGGACGGATCATTTGGATAGACTGCCCGAGTGACGGCATCAAGGGCAAGGATGCCGCAAGCAGTGCCATCACTTTGCTTGCCAATGGGAAGATCCTCGAGCGCTAAATGCGCGCCATGCTTGTCAGCCCACCAGAAAAACATCTTCTTCGTTGTTTCTGGGATTTTTCCGCCCAGGGAATTGCCGTACTGAAGAACGCCGTGCAGTATGGAAACCCGGAGCGGTCTGCTCATGTCAAATGGTTATGCGACAATGATCTTTGATAAGCGATGTCAAGACCCCGGAACCATTACACTAAGCAACATTACGAGCACACAAAACCAATAGATTCAATGTATTGAGTACTAATACTGAACGCTGAATCAGTGGAAATATCACAGCCCGCAAACATAAATTAAACAGGGACTTGAGCAAGGGGTTTGAGACCGAAGAACCGGCAATAATCGGAGCACACGTGTTGGTTACAAAACACGTTGAAGAGCTCACTGATGTTGCCACCGCCAAACATTGGTGTTCCACGCTGTTTGGCAATCTCGCTGTAAGTGATGAGTGAAAGTGTGATGTGGTACAAAATGAATGCCGCACGGAGTGGTCATGATCTGAGGATCCGTGAGAAGGGATTCAGAGCCTGGTTGATCAAATTAATCAGTGGGAGTCGCACAACGAGTGAATGCTCACCTTGATAGTCCGACAAGAACATGCTCCGTCCAGAGTACACGTACTGAACATGCTGCGTGAAACAGAGATAGAGCGCAATGTGATACGACGGGTGATCAGGATCTAAATGAGGAACAGCGGCGCGATTATGGACAAATTTGACAAAGCAAGAGGGAATCAGTTCTTCAATGATGACAGAACGGCGCAGGGATGATGCCCGGACAACATTGGTACCAGTGACAGTGTTGTGGACTTGTGCAACGCCGCCCTCGACAAATCGAATGTCCGGGATGACAAGATTGGAGGGCGGCTCCCCGAGCTTACTGAGCTGATGACGGACAAAAGTATCTGTGAGGTCGAACAGTGAGGTTGCCCAAAGCAGCAGATTCCCTTTGCAAATGCTCTGCTCAAGTTCGACTGCCGGACTGAACCGTCTGATTCCGACTGTATCACGTCGACTGGCCTTTGTATCGATCATCCGTTTGGCCGCAACGCGTTGATTCACAGTTGATCCGAGCCCAGTGGGAGACGTTGATGGTCGAACAAGGGTGAGGAAACCTTCGTATGCGTCCTTGAAACTACCAGACCCTAAAGCAGCAGACAGGACAACACTGAGTGTGCCTGGCTCAGCCACAGCCGGATCGCACACAAACTGCATCGCCGCCTCGTCCTGAGTGAACAGTGCGTCCATGGCTTTGGGATAAATGCGGAAAAATAGAATCTGCTTGCAAGTTGGGACATCTAGGCAGACAAATTCAGCCAAGGTGAGTTGATTGGAACATGAGATTCCGTACCGCAAGTGCCTGATCAAAATACCTGACCTCCAACACTAGCCACCTTTCGAAGCCGGGCAAAGTCTGCCTCATCCGGTGAGCGCCAGCCAGGATGTGAACACTTTGATCGAAGCTGTGGCAACAAGGGAGGTGTCGAAGGAGCACCAAGGCTCAGTGTACGTTCATGGCGTTTATCGGGGGACCATGTTGCCGCTCCGAGAACTCCGGCACTCGATGATGAGGAACCAGAGCGTTGCGAAAGTGCCCTAGTTGCCTCACGATCAGTGGATTGAGCCAGACTCCTGATGGTGCTGGCCTCTGTTTGATCAGATGCATTCGAGACGGATGCTGTCTGTGAAAGTTATCCACTACGGACACAACACGACTCATATGGATCACGTACAAACCGAGTGACCCGAGTCTGGACGGCGCTCGCTGTGGCACTGACAGAATTTTCATTTGAGTCGGCCTTCACGTTGTTAGCATTATTAATGTAGATAGAACAAGAGTGGAAATACGCACATCAGGTTCAGACGCTGCTAACATTTCCGTGCGTCGTTGCCACTCCCTGCCCGAAATCACTAGAGCAATCTGAACAGATGCCCTGGGAGCCTTCCATTCTGGTTTTGTTGCCTTGCCCGAGATCTTGTAGTACTTGTCCCAGTAGAACACGTGGTCAGACTGGAGAGCCTTGAAATCTTGCCAAGTTGTCACGTCCCGGACAGTGAGCTCGTTCTCACGGAACTGGAAATTGGCATCTGCGACGAGACGGTCATACAGGACCTCAAACACGTGGTTGAAGATGAACTCGGCGCTTGCGTCGCCGGGAACTTCGCTGCCTTCGCTGATGGTCTGCGGTAAAGTGAGATTGTAATATCGGACTGTAGACCCGTCAGAACTCACTCCATAGCTTTCGCCTCTTGGTTTCTTGAGAATCTCGTATCGAATACCAACCAGGATGGGCAACATCTTTGGAGAACGCCCCACATAACTTGAGCGTGCCCATGAGCCACGAGACGCTTGGTACTGTGCGTGATTCTTCGAGTATCCCTTGTCAGACCACTGATTCTGACTCCTCGAGCCTTTTTGAGACACAATATCAGAGTTGCGAGAACAATCCCAGGCACTCGGAGCTGCAACAATCGGGCGTGCTAAAAATTAATTTGGCATTTAGTCCTGAATGGACACCAGAATCGATGGGAGACATACTGGGAACAGATGACGGTGGGCCCATTGTGCCACCCGAGCAAGGAAAAATCGAAACGTGCTGCTGAGCACGCGAGACATCTACATGGGTGCAACATGAGGCTGGACTTGTGAGGATATTGGATATTGTGACACGTACCTCCCAAACGGCCCTGATTATTCATACGTTGAATCTTTTTGGCATCTGGAGCTGGGGCCGAGGATCGCGGAGGTCCAGCAGCATGCGAACTTTGAGAGTCTGTGCCGATGTTAACACCACGAGTTCCAAAACGTGAATTAAATAAAGTTCTGACGTACCTCGTTGGCGATCATGGTAGTACGAGTAGCAATTATAACACACAATGCGGTGGGCATTGCGCTTGCCGCTCTCCGAAACATGATAGCCTTTCTGCCCAATACAAATGTATTGATCGCCTCAACAGAACTGTCCAGTGCCACAGGAGACATCCTGGAGTGCAACATGCTTCTCTGTGAAACTGGCCGCCACAGAAGAATTCCAACGCTGAGAATCCTGTCCTCGAGACATGAGGCCAGGCAGGTAGATCCCAGTAGGAGGAGACGACGAGGACTTCAAGAGAGTTGTCGCGCTTATAACTGGCAATTTAGTACACCACGGGTCCCAAAATGCAAAATAAACTAGGTTTTGATGTATCTCGTTGGCGATCACAGTAGGACAAGTAGTAATTATAGCACACAACACAGTAGGCATTGCGCTTGCCACTCTTAGAAACAAAATAGCCTTTCTGTCCAACGCAAATAGATTGACCGCCTCAACAGAACTCTCCGGTGCCACGAGGGCAAAACCCTATTGGCACCAGGGACATTGTGAAGTGCAACACGCTGCTCTGTGAAGTTGGCCACCACAGAGAATAAGACAACTTCTGACGCTGGAATTGTGCTGGTCAGGCAGGTAGATCACAGTAGCAGGAGACGACTAGGACTTACAGCAAGTTTGTGTGCTTATAACTGGTGATTTAGCACAATCGTATCGGACTCAGAGCGGTGCATCTAATAATTACACGTGAGATCCACGCACTACCTCATTTCGCTTGCAGGAACGTGCAAGATACACGGATATTGAAATTAAATTGGCAGTACAGCAGACCGTGTTCACGGAGTCATTTTGGTGCCTCAAGGAATGAAGTGCCGCACCTCAAGGACCATAAGTGCCACACCTGGTGATCACAGCGTGTTGGCCTTGAGCTCGCTAAGTTCGGAGGTTCATTACAACCGACGACTAGCCATGAGAGGGTGCAAGCTCTGCTGGATTGAACTTTCACGGGTTTCACAATTACGTCCAATGGATATGTATCAGCACATAATCTGTGCGCATTTAAGGCAAGGGCCTCTCGATAGTTCTTTACTATCAATTCTGTACTTGATTCCCCTACTCGTCTCTTTCATCTAAACCTCCTGCTGTCTCGTTGAGAATGCCCAATCAACATAAACCACTCCGTCAGCTTTTCAAGATTCACATCCAATTCTAATAGCTGATCCCCTCACTTAGCACCTGAGACCCCCGAGTTGCGGACGTTGATCGAGTATTATTGGAGAATGAAGCACAACAACAGGTATATTCTGGAGCAACGAAAGAAACATCATATTGATCTCTCCCGGTACGGACTTGAGTACGTCGCTCATCTTGCTTCAGATCAGCTGTTTTGAGGATTCTGCAGAATCAAAGCCTTTCAGAAACTCCAAGAGCAAATGGGTTTCTTTTGGGTTCGCAAGCAGGGTCACACTGTCGATTCAATTATGGGCCCTATTGCGAGAATCCGTATTGTGTATCCTCGTGCCAGTGCCCATGACATGGTGAACTTGCTCTTTCATGAAGAGGACATTCTGGTTCCACGGTACATGTTTCTTTTCTCACAGATCAGTTGTTGTTTTCATCCAGTTGCAGGAGTGTCGTGATCAAATACTTTCGTGCGTACGAGCCGCATCCAGTCCGTGAACGTCGCCATGGACACTTCAAGCGAAAACCTTTCTGGGCTGCCGGAGTGAACGATATCTGGGCTGTGGACCAGCACGACAAATGGAAGTATAAATTTGGTCTTGCACTTCACACTGGGATCGATCCATTCATTGGATACATCCATTGGATGAAAATCTGGTGGAATAATAGCAACCCTTGTCTAATTCTGAGTTATTATCTTGACGCGGTGAAATGCTGAGGGCGTGCTCACAAGTGAATCTACTATGAAAGTAAACCCAAATATAAACACGTTCACACTCCTCGTAATCAGCTTCTCAGTGTGTGAAAGATGCGAGGGCTTCGGGGTGGACAGAGCACCAGTATCACAACTCTCAATAGACGCAGATCCAATAGTCGCGGAGACGAAGTCGACAACAAGAATTTATATATAGCAAACAATGGTATCTCAACCAATATCTCCTATACGAACACAACCAACACTAATCCAATCCACAACCAACACTATAACAAGTCGGAGCTTAATACGAAGTATTAAGATCCCTTGTAGCGACAGCGTCTAGATGGTGACGCAAAGCCCAAATATCAAGTCGACGCACTGCCAACCGATACAACCAATATACTGAGTCGACGCACTGCCAACTAGTAAACCAAAATGTCGAGTCGACGCACTGCCAACTGACACAACCAAAAGTACTGAGTCGACGCACTGCCAACTAGTAAACCAAAATGCCGCGTCGACGCACTGCCAACTAACAGCCAATATCCAATGTCCAAAACCCGAGCACAACTTGTCGACGCACTGCCAAGCAAGAAGTGTGGAACCAAAGTTCTCAAGTCGACGCACTGCCAACTGACCAAAACAACCCGAGCACAACTAGTCGACGCACTGCCAAGCTAGGGGTGTGGAACGATCTCAACAAAGCCCTAAGGCGACGACACTAAATGCCGCGACAAAACCAGATGCGGCGAATCCGACTTTCTGATATCTCAACTCAAACTCAAATCACAGTAGCTACAAGTGCTCAGGGAGCAACTCGTCGCAACCAGGCAGGGGTAGCAGAACTTCTTAGGGTGGAATCACGTGGCATGCAAATTGCACAAAACAATCTGATATGAGAGTGATTCACAGTCCGGGGGAAAGCTTTCTAATACAAAGAGACGACGTGCTACTTATACTGTCTACGACGCTGCTTAGTAAAGTCCTGTACAACTGCATAGTAGCTACGCTATCTAAGATCGGTTGCCTTTTAGGGTAATTGAAAAGTTGAACGATCGGACAGGTCCTGAGTGATCAGGACCCCGCCCCATAGTCCATATGATACTTTTGATGTGGGTCAACCCACCGCGTCATACTTTTGGAATACGACGTGCTGGATTGGCCAACGGGTATGTCTTGGCAAGTGAGACCAACGTGGGCGCCCCAAGAAGCCGTATGGCTCTAGGCACGCCAGTCGTCCCCCCACATGGTTCGGTTCATGGATCTAGCCGTGTCGATTTTAGTGTGTTCGGGTATGGACGCGACTCGCCGTGACACTTGGGAGTGTCACCGCGACGCGTCCACAATGTCCCGTGATCGAATGGATCCTGACATGTGACAAGTCGTCGTCGTGGCATGATCTGAGGGAACGTCCAACTCAAAACCGGGAGTTGCCGCGACAAGATGGTTTAAGTCTCGTAACGCCAAGTCCTGTCCAGTAATAGTTCTATTATTGAGAACGTCGCGCATTGCTCAGTCCTTCAGCTCAAGTTCCCATCTGCAGGGAATGACCCTTTTTGAGAAGTCGACGCAACGACAGATCCCTTTTGGGGAATGGTCGCGGTCCAAGCGTTCGTCACTAATGGCCCTGAGCCTGGTATAGACTCATAAGACCAGTTCCACAGTAGTGGTCTGACTGCCTTGCTATTGTCGACACTATCCACAGTCGTCGACTGGGCAGTAGACCCTTAAGTCCTACTGAGCGCAACACTGTCAACCGCGACACGATACACCGAGTGGTTCAGGAGTAAACTCTGTAAAAAGCGCAAAAATACGCCCTTACAGAGCTGGTGCAGAGCGCGTCTGGTAGCCAGCCTATCAGCGGTTCAAAATCTTCAATGCAAGTACAGATTTTACTCATTCTTAATGCTACTGACACCTTGTTCCAGTCATTCCCTTAGTAAGCCAGAGCGATCCTGGCTCTGAGAACGTTGGAATCGCAAATGGACACACGATGCTTCGCCATCTCCATGATCCTGACCTTGCAGGAACGTCCCAGCACCGTTACATGCGTGAGAAGAAAAATGACATGCCCGAGATCACTCGGAGCATGATGCGTTGCCGATTTACGCCCGGGTTCGAAGATATCCTCGATACAGGTGTGGACAACGGATGGTATGACCCAGGGATTGTTCTCGAATTGTGCGCTTTTGTAATCACTGTATCTTTCTCTCTTATAGCTGATCAACTTCACAGTCTTATATTTCGTTGGGTTTTCATCCCCTGGCTTCAAGCCGAGCTTGAAACGTACCAAAAACGCGTGAATATGACTGCCAAGCATCGTGATTGCAACAAAATCCTGCCTCATGGTGTTCCGCAGCACATGTTGGAATTCCCAGAGGAGTACGCAATTTTGGACTTCAAGGTACGTTGGTCCCCCCTCACGTTTCCCATAATGAGCGAGACAATGTTCTTTTATGCAGGTGAAAGTCAATCAAGCTCACATTGACACCGTACGAGAGCAGTACGCCCCACCAGCTCACGACATCTTCCACCTTGTGCCGCCAGATTTTGCTGAGTACATCAGCAGGTTCTATGCCGACCTTGGGAGCCCCCCAGTGACTTGACAAACATGCTGGGACGTCTATAGGCAACTCCTGCAATGCTTCGAGGAGCTAGATCAGCTCCCGGGCACCGCGGGTCCCAGTGTGGACCAGATCTGGGGTTTTGCTCTTACGCAAGCTGCGGATCAATATTGTGACGAGATTCAACCCATTGCCGGCCTGCGTCCACTTCGAGGAGGTGAAGACGTGATTGGACATGATGGTGCATACTACATGGGTGGTGTAAATGCTGGTGCTGGATTCGGTGAGTCGTTGCACCCGAATCTTCACCTCATGTTCACTTTGGCAGGTTTGGATCACTGTGCCGCTCTCGGACAGCTCATTGACAATGTTGAGCCGCAGATCAATGACAACGAGCCAGACACCGACGACGACGAGGAGATTTTTGCTTGGTTCTCTGATGAGGAACGTCCCGATGCTGAGCCAGATGAGTGGTAGATTACTAGTACCTAGAGTCTTCACATTGGTATTTAGTTGCGTTGACGAGCAGTGATGCACCCTGGCCCCGCAATCAGTTGATCAGAGGCCACATCAGTATGACGTAGCAAGCTGCTTGAGCTGACAAAGCAGCCACAATTGATCTGGCACGTGATGAATTAATCTATCACGTGCACTGAAAGATCTCAATGGATTTGTCAGCGAGCTCGTCAAGGTTGTTGCACGTGATCATTCTGATCATCACTGGATGCCTCAAACCCCTTGCTCAAGTCCCTGTTTAATTTATGTTTGCGGGCTGTGATATTTCCACCGATTCAGCGTTCAGTATTAGTACTCAATACATTGAATCTATCGGTTTTGTGTGCTCGTAATGTTGCTTAGTGTAATGGTTCCGGGGTCTTGACATCGCTTATCAAAGATCATTGTTGCATAACCATTTGACATGAGCAGACCGCTCCGGGTTTCCATAGTGCAGAGCATCAATCTCAACGGCAACCCAATGTCTCTCACTTGTGTAATGGCCAAGATGTGCAAAATAATTCCACACCCAGGCGAAACATCCAATGATCATTGTCATAACTCGCCATGTTCCACTCCTGATACAGGAACACAAGCTTGTCTGTCAGCATCACATCTTTGATACGAGGCATCGACGCAAAGTTTTGATCATCAAAGACACGATCACGAAGGAGCTCAAGGGCATCATTGATGTCGGTGCTGCTCAGCCATGCACTCTGACCACGCCCAAGAATGTGCCACATTGTGTGGACCGGATCTGCGGTTGACACTCCCTGCTTCTTGATGTTCCATGGAAGCTATCCAAGAAGCTTGATTGTCTTGCTTGCACTAGTGTGTAGTTTGGTGCTTGGAGAAAGGCTTAGTACATAGAATGACACAGATATGTTTGGTCACTCACTTGGATCCGGATCATTTTGTTATCATGTCTTTCATTCATTCCTTCTTTTCTGACCATCGCTTGCATATGACCGTCCAAATTTAATGTCAGCAGACCAAAAGTTGATGACCCTGAGGGAAAAGGCTGTGACGGTATCACCAAGATGGGCGTATTTGATGGCTGGGTACCCATCCAGCCATGCCTGTTGAGAAGCATTCTGCAGCTGATGAACAACAGTGGGGGATGGGATACTGATATGCCGTAAAGATGTAATCTCCGCATCTTGTACTTCCGCGGGACTGTCCTGGCTCAAAAATGCCTTCCACGGCTGCTCAACCAAGGCAGCAAACTCTGGAAGAGGACAGTCCAGGAGGTCCGTGAGTGACATGTCATCCCTTGGAAGTAAAGCAGCTGCAATTGACATGGGGATCTTGAAGTCTGCTGCCACGGCTTGTTCAACAATGGGGGGGACATCTTTCCACCAGTCACCACTGCAGCAGGGGTGATGGCAGGGGTGATGGCGAGGGTGATGGCGAGGGTTGTGGCAGGGGTGCCAATAGGGGTGGGCAGAGGTTTATGCACCCCTGCAATCAACCCCGCCCAAGCCACCGCCAGGATTGAATTCACAATTTTGGGTTTTCAAGCTTAAATGTATGGTTAAAATTGAACCAAGCTATTGAAATCCCAGTGGGATGATTTGGAGCTGCTTTTTTATTTTATTTGTGAAAAGTCACGTGATCACAACATACAATGTATTAGGAGCACAACAGAAACCATGCTAAACAGGGCAAAAAAAGTCTCTAAAAAGTCATGTGATAATGTGCCCACTGTCTGCCCTGGTGTGCGGGAGGGGGCGGTAGTGACCCTGCCAACACCCCCACCAACTCTGCCAACATTTTTGAAATCTCATGTGTTTCATCACGTGATTTTTTTTTATCCCGCCATCCCCTGCCCATTTGATGCCTCACATGATTCCATTTTTTCTCCAACCCATCTGCCTGATCTACAGGATAAATCACATGATATGTATTATCCCCCCCTCCTAGCCCCTGCACATGACCCTGCCCCCTGCGCCCCCGCCGCAGGGGGGGGGGGGGTACCTACTGGGTACCCGCAGGGTCTGTTATGTAATGATGGTGGTGGCATCTGGGGTGGATGAGAGAGGCTGGTGCAATGATAAACACATGCAATGGTTTTACAAGTTATCAAAGCATCCTAATTTCCATGGCAATCTTTGCCCAGGGACAGTAAAGGGCAGCACCAATATGGAAGAAGATGATAAATGGGTTGATACCAATGAAGGCTGGGAGGATGAAGACGAGGGCTCAGAGGCAGAGGAGGAAGAGGTGAATGATGTCATACACAGTGTCTCCATTTTGGGTCTCGACTCCAATGAGAGAGACAATGAGACTGTGCAGGAGGCCACATAGATACTACTCTGAATAAGTATATTCAAACTTAATTCAAACATATCCCTCACACAAAATTGACCAAGTCCTTTGTCATAATTATTCAAACATATCTCAAGCAGACCACCATTGCAAGACCGACCAAGTCCTCTTACACAATTATTCAAACAGATCCTGAGCAGACCGCCATCATGAACCAGTCCAAGTCCTCTCACACCAATATTCAAGCAGAATCTGAGCATAAACAATCCCTTGACTCGTATTTGAACATAATCCGAGCAGCTCATATGGCGTGGAGAATCCTCAAGCAGATTTTGAGCAGACAGATGTCTTCAAAATCTGGGCACATGTATTGCAACCTTATTGGAGCATACAATATGTCTGCATCCCCCATCCCACATATTTGAACAGATCTGAAGCAGCTGTAGGGACTTGGGAAAAATCACTGGATCTGGTCTCATCTGCTCCAGATTCCAAGCAGAAATTTCATTATTATTGGAGCATATGTAATTTTGCTCTAAAGCCCACTAACTAGTGGGGGGAACCAGCCTGGATCTTGTCACTAATTAGTGGGCCCAGTTGGGATTTACAGGTGATGCTTTGGAAGGGGCAACAGGATCTGTTTTGAGCCAAAACCAAGACGGCATTTGGTGCCCAATCACATTCATTTCGCACGCATTGACGGAAACCGAGCGAAATTACGAGATCTATGACAAGGAAATGCTTGCAATCATGCTATCATTGGACAAATGGAGGCAGTTACTACTGGGAGCCACGGAAACGTTCAAGATCTTCACCAATCATCAGAATCTTGAGTACTTCCGAAGCCGCAGAAACTCAATCGACGGCAAGCACGATGGATGACAGAGTTGGCAGAGTTTGATTTCACCTTACAACACTGGCCCGGCACACTCAACCGCAAGGCGGATCTCTTATCTCGACGAGCGGATCACGATCAGGGCAAGAACAACAACAAGGATGTCACTCTGCTGAAGCCCGAATTCCTCCAATCACAAGAAGTCTTATTTGAGGGGCAAGATCAGCAGCTAATTGATGAGATCAAGGCTACTTGATCCATTGATGGAAGTGTCAAAGCGGCCCTGGAGAAGTCACTCATCGGATGGAAAAAGGAAGATGGGCTCATCACATACCATGGGAAGCTCCATGTACCAAGGGACAAGGAGCTGCAGGACAAGATCATTGGGCTACACCACAACACGCCTTTGGTTGGACACGCCAGGATCAACCAAATGCAGGAAATGGTGGAAAGGAACTACTGGTGGCCTAGGATGGGAAACCAAATTCGGAAATACATCCAGACATGCGAGGTGTGCCAACGGACAAAGACCAGAAGAGCAAGAACGGGGACTCTGCATCCGCATGCAGTTCCAAACGCACCATGGGAAATCATCTCAATGGATCAAATTGGACCCCTGCCGGTCAGTAACGGGTATGACACCATTCATGTATGGTGTGACACCTTCACCAAAATGATCCATGTTAAACCCATTAGTACTGACATCAGCAGCGATGGAGTGGCACAGTTGACAAGGGACCAAGTCTTCTGCTATCATGGGATCCCTTGCAAAATCATCACTGACAGGGACTCACAACACAACAAGGGCTTCATGAAGGAGACGAATTGGATGTTTGGTGTGGAAATGAATCCGGGGACCACATATCACCCGATCACGGATGGACAAACGGAACGCATGAATCAGGAGATCAAGCACTATCTCTGCATCTACGTCAATTACCATCAAACAGACTGGTCGGAGTGGCTGGGAATGGCGGAGTTTGCATATAACAAAAAAATGAACACGTCTACCAAAATGTCACCGTTCTATGCGAATCACAGATATCACCCATGGAAGGGAGTGGAGCAGCGGATGGAATCGAGGAACGATTCAGCAGAGGAATTTGTAAAAAGAATCAAAGAAATACAAGACAAAGCAAAAGCGGCACTAGAAAAAGCAAATGAAAAAATGAAAAAATACTACGATAAACAAAGAAAAGAAGTTCTGGAGTTGAAGGTTGGAATGAAGGTGCATGGAAGCTGGACTTGCCAGACACGGAGCAAAGACACCCGGTGTTCAACAGGTCACTGTTCACACCCTTTCATGAACCACCCCCCCATTGCCGGGAGAAGAGACCTGTAGCCAAGATGATTGGAGGGGCAGAAGAATGGGAAGTCAAAGAAATCGTGAAGGAATGAAAGGTTGGCCGAGGAAGGCAGTACTTGGTCAAATGGAAGGGATGACCGCATAGCAAAAATACCTGGGAACCATCACGTCATCTTACCCATGCAAAAAAGGTCCTGAGAGATTGGCAGAGGAAACAATCCAACCCAGACACATGCATTTGCCTCCTACTGACGCTCGAAGCTGGACACTGGGATTATCTCATTCACCGCTACAAACCCAGAGACAAGCACCTTCCATACCCCCAACAACAACTCTTCGACCCCTACGAGAACGTCTTCACGCCCATTGGCCTAGTCAATGAGGACATCGACCCTAGAGAGAGGGTAATGTCATAGTTCAGCCACTTTTTCATCTTACCATCAACAATCTTATCTTATCTTGGCATGACTTATCTTATCACAGATCACGGCATCAGGCGGTCCGGACTGGGGGTTCCAGGGATTATCTTTATTGATTTGAGGCTGCGCAACATATGCTCCGGAAGGTTCTACTACAACCCATGACCAGTGCTCCATGCGGTACATAGCCTTATGACTCATTAGTTGTAGATATGACTCAGACTGGATTTGGGTATAAATACTGTAGCTACTTGGTTGTATTCTCCAGTCTTCGAATTCACTTCTCTTTATTTTTGAGTGATTGTCACACCAGCCGCATGTGTACCCAGTTTTTCATGCTTCTGAAATAGAGCTTTACAGGGAGAATGACAATGGACTATTCCCCGGGCGTACCAGAGCAATGGGGTTGGTTGACCACACAACAGTCGAATGCATTGTTGACAAATGGCGCCACAGCCACGGCATCCAATACATGGTACACTATCTGAACCATGGGCCCAAAGACAATTGCTGGCTCCCAGGACATGACCTGATCGGAACCAAAGCCCTCGCAACCTGGCAAATGGCAAAGGAAACACTGGAAGGATGATTGGTTTACATCTACTTATTCACCTTCCCACCTGCCCCAGGAGCTTTTTCCCACGTGGTTTTATTTTGATGCACCCGCACAGCAGGCTTACTGTACTTCCCCCTACCTACTTACATTTGGAAGGGCCTCTTTTCTTTGGGGAGGGGAGGGGTGCAAGCCTGCTACCTGCTTGCTTTTGTAGTTACTGACATCATCATCATCTTCCTTCCTCTCTCTCAACTTCCACTACAATATGTATCACTCTTGAAATACAGCTTGATTCAGATTCAGCTTCCTGTCTCAACAACCCCCTTTTTTCATTCACCTTTGGACTTAGTGTTTTTCACCTGGGTAGACCAGGTGAGCTTCCACCTATCACTGATTCTCTTGGTGTCAACATACAGGTACTTGCCACCATCCTTTGCGTGTAATGCACAAGCAGCACCCAGGAAAAGATCACCCCAATATGACAAGACAGGTGGAGATGGGAAGTACACAAAAAATGAGAGAGCCAAAACACATTTATTGTAGAGTGTTGTCTCCACATTCTAAGCCACGCATGTCTCAGAAAGATACGGAACAGCATCACCGGATCAACAAGGCCATCAAGATGGGCAAACTATGGTGCACGTGCCCTTGTCACTGCCACTTTGTGACAGGACCGGAATCTGGTCAGAAAATTTGCAAAAATAAAATGGTCGGGAAAGCATCAGAAATGGTTCAGATTGAGTGCAGATCAAGTGGAAAGACACATTTTATGCATAGAAGCCTGAAAGAGGTCATATTTGTCAGCAAAAGTGGTGACTTTGGCGTGACTTCTAGTCACATTTCGTGACAGAACGTGACAGAACCGGAATCGGGGTGTCAATCAAAACATCAACTCCCTCAGTTTTGAAGCAATTAATTATCCCTCTTACAGATTTGTTCTACACCTCAAACTGAGTGTTTCTGTAAGACAGATAAGAAAACAGACGCTTCTGTGACACACTGTGACCCTTGTACAAAAGTGGTAGTGTTAAGGGCACGTGCACCATATGAGTGTGGAGAGTGTCTTGACAAGCAAGGCAATACTCTGTGATTACTCACCTAGGTATATCCCTTTTATCTTCAAGTTCTTGAGATAGCAGCTGGGATATACAGCCATTATCTAGTTTTGGGGACAAAAAATGGACTAGAGATGTGCAGGAACAGGCACTGAAAAGATTTAACAAAGTCTCGGAAACAATGATCATGTCAAGCAATATAAATTCTCATTATCCATTCCTATTTTATTCTGCTAAATGTCAAAGGAAAACTCAACAAGGAAAGCCTGAGCTACCCAAGGACAACGGCATGGTGCATCAAGTGATTGAAAAAAATGACACTTGTAACCGGTGCGTTTCCTCCACGGAATGGATCACGCCATTATTCGCACCATATTCTGAGTGGCCCAGATGAAATAAAATCAAAGTGCGCGTCTCTAAGTTTACGAGAGCTATCCTGACTACAATCTCCGTGTCAATCACCTCAACGTGAACGTTTTCCTCAAATGTCTCGTCCGCGGCTTGATTTTATCCCGCCTCAACTCGGTTGGTCGCGTACGCCCCTTCAGCCTCTCATAAACACCACACGCGTTGCACACGACCTGCCCGTCGATGTTCTTTCGCCAAAGGCTCGTCTTGCGTGTCCGACAGTTGGTGCACATGGTCCCGGAATACTCTGAGTCAGGAATGTGGGCGTCAGCGGAGGGGGTGTCTATGTCCGCTTCAATGAGAGCACGTGGTCGGGCCGTTCCCCGCTGCAGCAGATATAGCCCACACGCGTTGCACAGGGATTGGCCCGTGCCGGGTTGTCGCCGCCAGAGCGGAGTAGACGTCACTTTGCAGTGTGCGCACGTCTTGGGCATTTCTGGTCGAGGGGGGTCGGAGTATTCGGGGTATGAATGGGATTGGACGAGGGTTGGGGAGGTGGATGGGGAGGCCGAAGCGGAGGTCGAGGCGCTTGGTGGGAGGCTACTATGCGACGGCCACTGGTCGTGCTGCGGATACACTGGCCAGAATGCAGAGTCCTTCGACCAATTGCTGTTTGTGGATGTACTCCCGGACTGTGGATACGACATCTGTATGGGTTCTTGCATTGTAATGAGGCCAGAGAAATCAGGATCCTCGCAGGTGAAATGGCCGGCAGCCAGGGCGTTACGAGCCCGAGACGGACTGCTGCTGTAAGCGTTGGCAGACAAATAGGGATTAGACGCCAGGGCGAAGGAATCTGTCCAAAGCGATGGGTTATCGGGCACAGAGTAGAACAGGCTTCCTACCGATTTGATGTCCCGGGCGTATCCAATCCAGAGATCGAGAAGAGATAGAGTTTGAGTGGCTATAGGGGTCCATGGGCTGACAGTGGCGGTGAGAGGCAGGGCCAAGTCAACTATTTATGTATAACATCAGCCCATCGCAACCCTACAGGATGTGAGCTCACCAATATCTTTGTCACGGCACGTGGATTGCTTATCCCGGACGTTTCATACCAATAGGCGCATTGTCAGGTCTTCTTGGACCTGGGAATCTCGAGTCCGAGTTCCTGTTCCCGTGTTACTTCTTCGTCGGAACTAATGGTTTTGGCGACTTACCACATGTCCCGAACCGTAAATTTCGAGAAAATCAGCTTCCTTAAATTCCAGAATATGACACTAGCAAAGCTGTAGAGCATGCAGATTGGCGCTAACTACGCCACGTGAGTTTCCGGAGCACGGGTCGATCCAGGCATGGTACCTAGCACAAAGAAGCTGGATAGCAGGCTGAAAATTTGTTCCGAGCCCCACATAGCGCCAAACTCCCCACGACGTCCGTCACTACGTAGGGGCCGACGTCTTAACATGAGCCGGAAGTTTGAAACCCAGCAGAAATGGCGTGATGGATGATGGCGCCGAAATGATGGTCGCGAAAAACCTTAACTTTGGGGGATAAAAGGCCGAGACAGCGCATTGTGCGAAAGCGGAGGATCGTTGACAGGCGGGATAGAGACTCGGGAGAAGGACTTCGGAGGGCCATCTAGGCCTTCTTACATTTCTTGAACATGCAGCAGCTCGGTTCTTTCACCGTCGCGAAGGGCGGGGTACCGGTGCGCAGCACCCACCCCCCATCTATGAAATCCGCTAGTGAAATTAGGAAGCTATTGGAGGAAGAGGAGGGCAGGACTCTGATAGTGAGCTCCTTAGCAGCCGAGGGAATGATTTTCGGGGTCTGGTGGGTGCCAAGGAAGCGTATACACTGACTTCTCCGACTTCGCATGGAACTGCGGAGAGCCATTCCGATGGACTCGACACAATATCGAATCCCGGATGAGGTTTCAGTCACCTGTAAGTCGTTCCGAGAACCGCCGCCCGCGCTGTGTACGCTCGAACTCGTCCAGATGCGGCGTAGAATACCGTCCTTGAAGGATTTGATCACCCGTCACTGGATTGCGGCCCACCGGTAGTTATGGAAGGGTTCTGCGAGTATTCTCTAGTTCACGGGACGTGCTTGAAAGTAAGGAGATCAGCAAGTGGCCCACATGGATACGGAAGATCGGAGTATTGTCGTATTGGTGACAACTGTCTTTCTGCACGCTTGATAACAACCTCACCTAGGTAAATATACTCTATTCTCGCGAACATAGTTCAATTTCTGATAACTCAATCAAGTACAGAATCTTGAACAAGTCCAAGCAATAAGAGATAAAATTTTCCGCAACGGTCAAGCGGCTATAGCGATTTTTCACTTCGTATGCTGGCTGTTAACCCGGCCTCGGTCATCATGGCGGCGTCCCCGATGAATCGCAACAATAGGCGAAAATCCATGCGATCCGCAGTTCAGCGTGACAGCTGGCACAAAACCCCCGAGATCTGCGGATCTCCCTCGCCTAATTAGGCTTGTAGATGCTTATCTGGCCATCATGTACAATGCCGACATGACGTATACCTCTCATCGGAGTGGCCGGATAGGCCAAAGCTATTTCCAGACTCCAGAGCCGCGAGCAGTGGCTTTCGAGAACATTCTCCTTCGCAGTCCAGGAAAGTCTAGAGAACGCCTCAGCCTTCATCGGAGGCGTGAATGCAGACTCACCGTCCCAATAACAGATGGATGGAAGATATATCGACGACCTCGATGCGTCTATCAGCCTCTAGGCACCCATCCACCCCGCCCCTATCTCGTCGAGAGATGGACCTAGATTCAAAAGATCCGTTTTGAGGCGAAACGTGCTCCTCCATTCCATCACTATGCTCCGACGCAACGAACTCGACCGGCCCATATCCTATTCACCACAGCATGTGGAAAGTGACACAGGCTACCATCGCACGCCCTCGCTGTAGCGCGGCCGATGTGACCTGTCCACCGTCGCGCTGTCGACAAGGCTCCACGATAGGACCTGCCCGGCCGACCGGACTAGCTCTGGAGGACAGACCACTTGTACAATTCTGTCGGAAATCCCGTCACCACGATGTAGCAGGAAAGTATCAGGGCGTCGTCCGAATCAATAGCATGCTGAGGCTAGGCTTTCAGTTTATTCCCAAGTGCAGGAAGTGCGGAAATCCGCTCACCTGTGCAAGGACGAATATCTCAAACCTAAACGAAGATACGACGCACATGTGGCCTCGCACTCATCGATTCTCCCTTGATCCTCATTCCCGCTCAATGTGTGGTGGACAGGCCAGGATGTCGATGGCACGGGAGTTTTCATCATCGACCCGTACACTCGGATGCACGCTCCCACCAACGGCACAGGCATCTCGTTCGTCTGCGCCATAACGTCTTCGCCGGTCGACAACCGCGATACGAGAGACGGTACAGCTGAAGAACGTCCCGGTCGGAGCTAGACAGGCCCGAAGGTCCAGTCGCGCATATATTGTGCTTTGTGCTGGTGGAGTGTCAAATGGAGACCGTCGAAAGGGTTGTAAGAGCGACTTGCATGTGATGGGGGAAACGGTGCTGACTCTTGGCCGTACGGTGTCCACAGCGGCGTACGAATGGTGCACTATTCATGCCATCAGCTGCTCTCTCTTCGGCGTTCTCCAAAGCCCCTGGGGAGTGCGTTGCAGATGCATATATGCGCCGTGGCTGGTACGATTGGGCGGCCCGATGAACATGGCACCCGGTGCCCAAGACCCTTCTCCATGGGTACTTCTGACAGCACGTTGCCCACGACTAGTTTCCTGACGGCCCCTTGCAGCACAGAGACCTCCGATCTTGTCACTGCCGCATGTGGAAGTAATGCGAAGCTGCCGCTTGGCGAAGAGGGATGAGAGCCTGAGATCGTGTGCCATGAGGCACGAGTCAACTGTGAAGGATCCCGTGCGAGACTGAGTGCGTACATTTGGTGCTCGTGGACTGGAAGAGGAGGGATCTCACGAGCGCGATGCTGGCGGATTGAAGTGGTGTATTTGTAACAGTGCAAAGGCTGCAAAGGTGTGGCAAAGTCAGAGTGAGACAGACCCCCCAGTCGTGTCACTCGTGACAGCGGAGTCTATTTGCAACTAGATATCTGTTTCCACAGGTGAAAGGATATAAATCATTGCGGTGCCTGTTTTTCCATTGGAAAATTGTCATGATCCCGGTAGGAAGCTTACAGATCCTCTGCATGCCATATCCTTTCATTTATCTCTCACTGAGGGAGTGAAAATTCATGCGCGCGCGCCATGACGTCTCGCACCACGCTACACAAATGCGAAATTCCGCTGATTGCGATTTTAGAAACCAAGAAAACTGGACGAATCAAAGCAAATAGCTCGAAGACACTTGAAGCACGAGATACTGGAGAAGCCCGTATATGCAAAATATTAAACTCATATATTATATTTGTTTGCTCATTTAATTATATTTATTTTGAGGTGACTGGGAAATATGCACCGAAATATCAACCCATATGTATATTTAATGATAATTTTCCTTTTGAGGTAGCTCGGATATCAACAGGATCTGTAGCGTTCAAAAAGACCTGTTTCACTAGGGAGCATGCTGCTCGTATTTGACTACGTCCAAGCCAGTGCACATGCTGAAAACTTAGTCAGATTGCCGTGCACTGTCGGCGAATAAAAATTTGCTAGTGATGAGCAAGCATAGAGGTGAGTAATGATAGAAGTCAACCAATTTCCTCACTGGGGAACCGGCTCATCACTGACGAATTTATCTCTTCTGCGGATCCCGAGCTCCGCCGGTGGCCCATATGGCCATTAAATTCAGCCCGCCAGTTTCCGGTCTCTGCACATATACTCGACCCACTATTCGGAAGATTGGAGACTTCACAGATCAGCCCGTAGTCCAACTCGATCCCAGCATGTAGGGTTTAGCGGCAGAGTTTGCAGCCAACATGCGCCTTCGAAATCATGTATTGAAAGCACAAACATTGGATATCCGGCTCACGGATCTCTTTCCGTCGGCTATTCAGAGAAGTTTGTTCGCTAGAGAACTCAACGCAAACATCCCCGAAGAGTATTTTAAGGGACTCGATGCGATACACTCCCGTACTTGAAATGTGGAGAAGTAGTACCGGTTAAAAAAATGCGAATAGGAACATTCTGCGCACTTCACAACTGGAGCTCCTCAGTCGAGCGGGGGTTATTCGAAGCCGGTTTACACTGAAATTCCACTTATTGGACCTTCGATTTAGTCAGAAGTGGTCCGCTCAGAGTTCGCATCGGAATTTCTGGGGGCTTCGTGGAGCAACCAATGATGATCTTCAAATTACCGACGCAGCGTGCTCATTTCACCAGGGTTACACTGAAGTTCTATCCTGTACATGGCCCGAATAGACACCGCAACGAGTTCTTCCGAATCAATAATAGCAGCCGAGTTATACCGTTCCACCGGACCAGTCTCTCCTGATCTCTCGTGTGGCATGAAGTCGTCATTGCGCAGGGAATCATTCTCCATAAGGCTTGGCGACATATCAATTTCTTTCGGTACCGAAACAGCGCGTTCTTTCGGTGCCGAAATCACGGGCTCTCGAACGTCTTCCGAAACGAACGAGAAAGCCGGGGGCGGAGGTGATTCCGTATCATGATATCATGAGCCAACCGGTGTCACGTGGGTGTTACCTCCACATCACAAGCGTTCCTCAGGCGCTCTTTCTCCACTGGCTACCCCCCGCATATCTTCCGCGATTTTTTGTCGTGCACTGGCTCCCTTCCACCCGGAAAACGTGAGCTCGCTCTGCTGCCTTCCGAATCACGCCAATTCTTGTTCCGGAGGACACTTCCTTCCCTAATTTCCACCTGTGTCTCCCGTTCTCGGTGTCTATACTTGTCATAAACAAGGCCAGATTGGAGTGGCGACATACGTCGCGCGAGCTGGAACTCACTGAACCTTTAGCCTCTTTGCATAATTACCAATCAGTCAGGACAAGCCACACAAGACTACATACTGCGGCGGACACATCGTGAGTCTTCCTGCGATACACCGCGCAAGCGCTTACTCCCCCCGAGGAACCCCTCTCGTTCCTCACTCAACCGCTCACGTTCCTGCATTGGTCCCGTCTCTCTGACCGCATCGACCACAAACCCGTTCTCCTCGTCGGTCTCTTCAGCCTAACGTTCTCGATGATCTCGTTCAGCATGTCCCCGTCGTATCGGGTGATCGGGTTCCTTCCCTTCCTCGCAGGCATCATGAAAAGTAACGTCGGGGTAATCAACAGAATGATGGGTGCTAGTAGTGGGCAACGTCGCACAGGCGATGGCGTTGATGCCTGTGATTCGGGCTACAGGTGCTACCATCGGGTGCGTCTGGCTGCCTTGGCTTGACGAACGCTCTAACGGAGAATACATAGTCCCATGATCGGAGGACTCGTTGCCAACCCATACGAAACCCGCCCCAACACGTTCGGGAAATATGAGTACCGGATAACGTACCCCTACGCTTTGCCGTGCTTGGTCATTGCCTTCTTTTGCATCTTCTCATGGGCCTAGGCTTTCTTCTCCCTCCAAGAGGCAAGTAGCAGAGCCGCTGACATACTACCTGCTTGCTGACACATTCAATGCAGACTGAAACCGCGCCGTGTCGCTACCTCCGACGGGACAGTGCCAGAGCACAACGACCTCCCATTCCGCGGACTGCTCATTCGCCGTTTCATCACCGCGGCGTCCAACCGGTGACTTGCTGCTTGCAGCGTTCGATATCTCACTGCGAGTGCTGCAGCCATTCTTCCGAACTATCCTCGTCATTGGCGGCTTGGGATTCACTATCACTATCCTCCTTTTGTGCTTCGGCACGTTTGAGTTGTTCAGCAGGATCTATCAAGCGACAGTGTTTTCTCTGTGCGACCGTATTTGGGACCGAAAATGTTTTCGTCGCCGCCGCGGACACTTTCTTCCTCATGTTCCTGCTCTTTCCGCTTATGGATCTGTCGGTGCTGCAGGAGGGTTGTGTCAACGGCTTGACGTGAAGGAAGTCAGTTCTTCAGGTGGTGTTGCATACTATCACGGACATGAAATTCAGTGCGTTCCCTCCTTACGCAACCACGAATTCATGCGATTGACCTTGCATTCAGGCTGTGCGTTCATCTGCGTCCGGGTTGCCGCGCCGAACCAGCATTCACTCGGCGTCTCGAACGGGATCGCCAAGACGTGTGTCGTGCGCGATCGTTGTTCTCCCCGTCACCGGGGAGAACATGGTCGGCGGATCGTTCGTTCATTTGGCTATGGCCATGCTCTCGGCGTTACCTCCTCCTAGTCCTACGGCGTTCCTTCCGAGGACGCTCCGGCGATTTGCGCACGACCAGCAAACTAGTCACGAGCCTTCGAGACGTGAACAGCTCTAGGAGGACATGTGCCAGCCAGCAGTTCAGATAGAGTCTTACTTTCACATTTGTCCTCGTCTGGCATCGTTTTACGACTGGACACCACTTACGTATTGATCATTTTCGGGCTCACTTCGCACCATCTCTTCTGCTCTGTTTGCCCCTCTGAATGTCTCTTACGAGGAAGTCCATCTGATACTTTCATTTCAATCATCGCATGCCTTGACTGCGAAAACTAGAATACTGTTATCCTCCCACACGATAAGAGACATAGCGCAAAATTTGTTGTGTACACGAATTGAAAGGCAGATGGTAACAGGACCCCAAAACACTTTTACGCGCTTTCCAGTCTGTTCAAGACAATACCGCACGATGGAGGAGATTCGGCACACCTTCCCCATATGGCAGTTTGAAAACAAGGAATAAAATTCAGACGGTGTTATCTCAGAGTACTTAGCATGGCGCGTGCAAATCAAAGTCCTGAGAACCATCCACATATGCCGCGAGAATTTCAGAAACTGGTGAGGCGACATGAACCGCCTCAAGACCTCTTCCATTGAAGGAGCGGAAGAACCTACCACAGAATCAGTGCACGGCAAGTACTAACGCGCGGCACGTACCAACGCGTCGCTTCGGCGCACTCAGGCGGCGCGTGATACTAACCCCGGCGCAGTTGAGGAAGACGATCCTGATCATTCGCCCGACAGCGGACAGCCAGATGTCCCGGTTCCCCGTTGTCTGTTTCGAGCAGGCGGAGAGGTCGAAGTACGGCGAGGGAAACGCGTGGATATGGCGCGGCACGAGGAGCTAGCCCAGGACGCTGATCCACCCGCAAACACCCTCGCTGGCGACGACGAGGGAGCAGCTGGGAGCAGTCAACATCCACGCAGATTGATGCGAGCTATTCCTCGATGGTGAATCGTGGTGAAGATCTGACCCATGCGGCGGAACTAGGTCCCTATGTAATAAAATGAGATCGGATCTTGATATGGCACGAATAGACGATCAGTGCGGCATACTTCGCGTTACCGTGACTTTCGTCGAGGGAAGACGCACTGAATCTACTGAGGAAGCGGATAGTCGCACAGAGAGGAGTGCGCTCCACCCGTGTTTCCGTGATTGCAAAAAAAAAACGGCTCACAGTGAAAACGCTCTGATCCGCGATCAACCGGCGCCCGAAAGACGACTAGTGTCCGTGATCAATGATCCTCCGGTCATCTGGAGATCGATACCGGCATGAGGACGAACCTAATATTCCAGATTTATGCACCGTCGCAAGAGCGATCAACTTTGCGCAACCTCACACGACACTCGGAAGTACAGCCGGGACGGACATACCTCACTGCGCCGGGAGGCATAACCGACAAAGCGTCTCGTAGGGCATCACAGGCTTTTGGGTCATCTCGGACCCTCCGTTGTCCTCGAAGAGCAGATCCCTTCCTGCTTAAGGAACTGTTGGAGGAATGATTCGGCGCAAATTCGGCCAACAACGAGCTAGAACACGTCAGCATGACATCTGCCGGAATATCGGTATAAATCCACCCTCAGGCGACCCCGTGTCGTGAAGTATGGAGGCCGGGAACTATATGCTGATAAACGGAGGACGTATCACTGATACGCGATAGTTTGCCGACATAGGATCAATTTCATGATGCGCTCCATGTCATGATGCGCCTATCTGGACGGCTGAAAACGTTATACTAATAACCGATGTCTGAATCGTGGATGGCCGCTCGGCAGATATTGATCAGATGATTGACGCAATGATCAAGACCCCAGGTAGCCGACTATCGCAATATCGCAACATCGTAATATTCGAAAAGCGCAACATTCGAGATAGGATCAGCGGCCGGGTCGCCGGCGCGAGCAGGCTCGTCGCAAGTCCGGACTCCCAGGCGACATTCCAGGGCAGCGGTTCGTACGTCGTGTTCGACTGGGGAAGGAGGTGCGCGGCCTCCCTGATACAGCGCCGTCGAGGGTCAATTCACACACCCATACTGTAGCTTGGGGGGATCCTGTCGCTGACGATCAACAACGCGACGGCCCAGTCGCAGTTCTCACTGTCGTTCACCGAGTCCGCGGAGTTCATCAGCCCGCTCAAGTTGGACGACTCGTGCCAGCCCGCACGGCTGCAGAACTGGGACAGAATCCAGACGTTCCACGTGCCGCGAGCCACGGGGCTGCTGACGCAGACCGTGGGACAGCAGCGCGGCGGGTTCCGCTTCCTGACGATTGTGAGTGCGAGCGCGGACCCGCTGACGATCTCGAACATCTCGCTGGCGATCACGTTCATGCCCCACTGGGATGATCTCAGGGCGTACCCGGGCTACTTCTTTGCACCTGACCCCGGGTTCCACGACATCGACTGCCTCACGAAGATCTGGTACGCCGGTGCGTCATCGCCTGTTTGCTGGCTGATGTGGCAGAGCGTGGCGTGGGTGGGGGCTGACCGCTAGCAGGCACTATAGGGTGCAGACCAACACAATCCCTCCCCACACGGCGCGACAGGAGCCGTGCCCAGCAGGAGGTTCGTGTCGGCGTGGATCTGAATTTTGGACTCAAACTGTGCGATCACATTTGTAGGTGGCTGGTCCAACGATGCCTTGGGAGGAGCTGCCACTGGGCCTATCCTCGTCGATGGTGCAAAACGCGACAGGTGAGGAATGGTCGGTCGCGATCTGTGTGTGCAATCCCTGCTGATGACATTGGTACTGTCAGGAACATCTGGCCAGGTAACCCCTCATGCTCATGGACGCGATCTAACCCTCGGACTCATGCGACGGATCAGGCGACTGCGGCATCTCCACACACACGGAGCTCGTCGCGCTGAGCGACATGGAGCCGACCAAGAACTCGTTGATGGTGATGTTCCGCACGCAAAACCTGACGACTGGCGCGCTGCAGTACTCCGGGCCGCCGCTGAACAACCAGGGAAGCGACACGTACATCTCGTGGTCGCTCATTGGGACGCACAACTACTTCCTGTACACGGGCGACCTCGATTTCATCAAGTCTGTCTGGGCGAACTACACCAAGGCGGTTGGCTTCCTTGAGGGCCAGGTGGACTTGACCGGCCTGATGAACGTCTCGTCTGCGCTCTCGAACGACTGGGGCAGGGCCAGCGGCGCCGGACACAACTCTGCGGCAAACGCGTTGCTTTATCGCGTGAGGATTGATTTCTGTCTCTCGCATCATGTATCCGCGCTCATCAAGCTCGTAGACGCTCGTCACCACGGCGGACCTGGCGACGCATCTCGGCAATGTCTCCCTCCCCGCCACATACCTCGCCAACGCGACCAAGATCAAAACTGCGTTCAACAGCCTGCTGTGGGACGCCGCGGCGGGCCGGTTCCGCAGCAACGACCTGCCGAGGAGCATCCACCCGCAGGACGGCAACGCGCTCGCGGTCCTGTACAACCTCACGACATCGGACGCACAGAACAAGGCCGTGAGCGCCGGGCTGATGAAGTTCTGGACGCCCATCAGGCCGTGGCTTCGAGGTGCGTGTTGCGCTGGTGGTTTGTGGTTTGCGTGTCACCTGCGCGACAGATCCAAGCGCATTTTGTGGCCGGCAAGGGCGAGCGGGCAATTGATCTGATCGAGCGCGAGTGGGGGTACATGCTGGAAACCAACTTGAGTGTCAAGTCGCCGCTGCTAGAGGGCTTCTCGGCCAACGGATCGCTCGGGTGCGTGTCGTATCAATCAGCTGCGGCAAGCTGTTGGTCCTGATCTGTACGCATGGTTCTCGGATGAGGAAGACTCCCGCGAAAATGATTAGTGAATTACAGTAATTACATGCTCACTACGCTATCTCGAATATTACACTATCTTGAATGTTGCGCTTTTCGAATATTACGATGTTGCGATATTGCGATAGTCGGCTACCTGGGGTCTTGATCATTGCGTCAATCATCTGATCAATATCTGCCGAGCGGCCATCCACGATTCAGACATCGGTCATTAGTATAACGTTTTCAGCCGTCCAGATAGAGCGCATCATGACATGGAGCGCATCATGAAATTGATCCTATGTCGGCAAACTATCGCGTATCAGTGATACGTCCTCCGTTTATCAGCATATAGTTCCCGGCCTCCATAGTGAAGCCCGCGTCCGTCAGAGTCGACTCTGTCACCGGGTTTTCAGGCGCGAATACCTTGATTGGGGGAGATTTGCTTGAATCCTCTGCAACGGTAAAACAAGAACAGAATGTAAGAATCGTTCGCGCCGATCTGGGCCGGTATCACCAGGCGAAGTTTCGAGGGGCGTTCCTACGTAAATGATTCCGACGCAACGCAAGTCCTGACTGTCACAATTAGAGTAGGCTCGGCAACTTGCATCCGTACGGTCCCAATCACCACCGAATGCCCACATTCCACCGAGAGGGACGTCACCGGACAACGGCCGGACACACTCGAATCCGTTCGGATTCGGAGTCGGAGTCGGTGGAATTCTAGCGCCGAGAGGGATATCCCAAGACATCTCTCTCATTGATTGTTTTCGAGCAGATCGACATCAGATCTTGGTTCGTAGCGGTGAACGAGTAATCATGTCTCGTCACCCGGGCCGTGCGAGACATGTAAGGAAAGAGGGTTTGAGAGGAGAAACGACGCACCGTAAGCCGCATCGTGGGAGATATCACCAGTATCGGGTCCTTCACTTCAGCCAGTATGCAGTCTTGCACAAGACATACGAGTCACGGCCTCTGGCATTCGACGCCTATGAAATCCACTTCGACTCCGAACAGGGCAACTGCGTCCCGAACGTTGTCGGCGGGGCGGCTGTCGCGAGCAAAGGCAACAGATACCCTGCCGTAGTCGAAGAGGCTGGGATCGTGAATTGTGAGTACGGATGGTCTGCGTACCTGGACCGTGTGCTCACCGCCGCCGCTTTCCTAGTGACGCTCCACACACAACTCACGAACACCCTGACCGAAAATCTCGCACGCAACATCATCGACAGGACCCACGGTGCCTTTGCGCGCATCGACTCTGCGCCTGGAGGCAACGAAACCGCCAAAGGCGCCCTCAGAACAGCTCACCAGGTGACCGCCGTTGTCTGCATCCGAGTCATTAACCCGTTCTGAAACACCACACACAGTACTTCCGGGAGCTGGGCCAGGCTCACTGCGTGAACTAAATTATGCCCAAGTACCCTTACCACGGGCTGCCCCTCACTGAACGTCGCGTGGAACGCCCCACGCGCAGCCCGTCATGCGCCGTACAACGGCGCCCTCGACAGCAAGCACTTCCAGACGTGTCCCCTACCTGTGCCTGTCGCTACAAGCTCGAGGGAGAGTCGGATAGTGCGTCAAACACCTGCGGGCTGAGCTCGAGTTCACGTTCATCGTGCGTGGTCGAGACACCGTGTTGCATGTAAGCAGCCCGTCCTGAAACATCAGAACCGTGACCTGACGGACCCTCAACCGTCCCCAGAAACCGTCAGTTGATCCAGCGCTTACCGCGATCAGCTTCAGCGGCCGTCCTGGATGGGCTCGTGGTTGCCGGAGCCAGCTTTGGAGTCTTCATCCCTCCGAAAGGGTACTTGGCTGTCTAAGAAAAGTACGGGGCACACCAGCTCCTCGTCGACCAGGTCATTTACGGAATGGGCCCGTGCGTATCAGCTTTCATTCGTCCATTTCCGCTTACTCACAGCATTCAGGTGAGGATACCCTTCAAGCTCCCAACCCCACGATCGGCGGTGCGGTGATCTCGCCGCTCATCGTTTAGGTGCTGAGTTAATATTCCAGCCACTGGCAGCGCGTTTCACACACCGAGCATACCCGCCTGTCACGCAATATCGCCCGCTATCCAGCGCGTCATCATCGGCAAGAAGTTGGCGGAGGACTGCACGATGCCGGCCGATCTGCTCGACCGGTACCAGACAGCGGACTGGGGGCCGACGAAGCACTGGCGAAGGACTACGTGGCCACACTTCATGGTGCTGGCCTCTTCTGGCCTGCTGGGCTCCAAACTCGACCGGTGCTCCCGATAGTACGGGGTTGCCGATGCGTGTTTGTGGCCGGGAAGCGGTGCTTTCAAGCTGGACTGGCGATGGCGCGCATGATCCATAGTGCACATATGGAGGAGAACCTAGGAGGACCACACCGTGTTTGCACGGATGTTGGGCCGACACAGACCTACCTTTTTTGGACGCTGCGGCGTCTTGCCGATGATGATTAATCGATGATTTGTGATAGCGCGGAGAGCTACCGTGCGTCACGTGAGCGCCTTGAGGATCGACACGCAAGTCCGCGAGGGCTATCAACAAGTTGGAGGGCCAACAGAAATGAATTGTATCAATGCATGAAATTCAGTGGATGTGGACTTCCGAGATTTGTGTGGACTACTCATATATACTGTAGGCAAGGATTATCTTGGAAGACGGTAGAGCAAACGAGCTGACAGTAGTACTCGCTCAGTAAGCTTCGTAACGGTAAGCAATTGATAAATAAGATGCTGTGATATTCCACAGCAATGCATACATTGTAAACTAAGACAGCTTCAACTAAGGTCTATTGAGTGCTGTATGTTGACAATGACTCATTGCAATTGCATGTTGATGACATCCATCGGTGCACATGGCGTATTGATCTTGTTGAATCGTCTGACAACACCTGGCCCGGACATCATTGATATTGCACCGTCACTACTCCCAATCCATCCTTTGTGTCTCGGAACAATCTTATCTCTGCCTCATCCTGTCTAACCTCTTATCAGTGACTTTGCACTATTCACAGGTATCTTCTGACCTGCTGCACACTCTGCCCTACAATAAGAGCGCAGCCAGGGCAGTACATCCTTTGTAGCCCCTGAAGTCTCACATGTGACTTGTACCTATACTGAGTAGAATATACAGTACCACGCCCTGTATAAATAGCGTGGCAATATCGTCTGAATAAAGCAGAATTCTCTTGCTCTCTTTGTTGCCTGACAGGTATCAGGCCTGGCACAAAACTGAGCAATATCTCAATCTATCCCATTCTTCTCAGATATATAGTTTCAGACATCATCCTGCGCCTCTCAGTCTTACCACTACCATTAGTTGGACTGAGGGTGCATATCCACATTTCTTTATCCTCCATACTCACTAATGTATGTAGACTTATCTAAATCCTGTTGTCTACAGGTTAATAAGGGTCTTGCCACTACCATTAGTTGGACTATTAACTAAGGACTTACTCAAATCCTGTTGTCTACAATACACATTATAACCGTTGCTCTGAAGATGTCCAGACAAGGGAGGGAAAAGGATTCCACCTGCAAAGCTCTTGGCCCAGCTTCACTTAGCAGTTGGGTGACAAAGCGTGCTGATCTCTGCTGTGAGACAGTGTTGCAAGTTGTGATGTTAAGGGCCTGGCCCAGCCTGAGTGCCCAGGGTTTAGGCCTGGCTTACCTTAGCTTGGGCCAGGGTTTCTCAAAGCCTGAGCCTAAGCCTGGTGGGTAAGGCCTACAGCCCACAGGTGGGGCCCAGGCCCAGGGCCTGCCACCACACATATGTGATGCACCTAATTGATGAAGAATGGCTGCTGTACATGAGAAAGGATGTTAGAACCTAGACACGATCGCGCAGCTTTGGTACAATAGAGATAATCCTCCTGAGGCCCCTAACCCAGACCATGTGGTGCCGTTGAAATGCTGAGGGCGCGCTCACAGGTGAATCTACTATGAAGTAAACCCAAATATAAACACGTTCACACTCCTCGTAATCAGCTTCTCAGTGTGTGAAAGATGCGAGGGCTTCGGGGTGGACAGAACACCAGTATCACAACTCTCAAGAGACGCAGATCCAATAGTCGCGGAAGACGAAGTCGACAACAGGAATGTATATATAGTAAACAGTGGTGTCTCAACCAATATCTTCTATACGACCAAAACCAACACTAATCCAATCCACAACCAACAATATCACAAGTCAGAGCTTAATATGAAGTATTAAGATCCCTTGTAGCGACAGCGTCCAGATGGCGACGCAAAGCCCAAAATGTCAAGTCGACGCACTGCCAACTAACAGCCAATATCCAATGTCCAAAACCCAAGCACAACTTGTTGACGCACTGCCAAGCAAGAAGTGTGGAACCAAAGTTCTCAAGTCGACGCACTGCCAACTGACCAAAACAACCCGAGCACAACTAGTTGACGCACTGCCAAACTAGAGGTGTGGGAACTATCTCAACAAAGCCCAAAGGCGACGACACTAAATGCCGCGACAAAACCAGAAGCGGCAAATCCGACTTTCTGATATCTCAACTCAGACTCAAATCACAGTAGCTACAAGTGCTCAGGGAGCAACTTGTCGCAACCGGGCAGGGGTAACAGAACTTCTTAGGGTGGAATCACGCGACACGCAAATTTTACAAAACAATCTGATATGGGTATGATTCACAGTCCGGGGGAAAGCTCCCCAACACAAAGAAACAACGTGCTACTTATACTGTCTACGACAATGCTTAGTAAAGTCCTGTACAACTGCATAGTAGCTACGCTATCTAAGATTGGTTGCTTTTTATGGTAATGAAAACGTTGAACAATTGGACAGGTCCTGAGTGATCAGGACCCCGCCCCATAGTCCATATGGTACTTTTGATGTGGGTCAACCCACTGCATCATACTTTTGGAATACGACATGCTGGATTGGCCAACTGGTATGTCTTGGCGAGTGAGTCCAACGTGGGTACCCCAAGAAGCCGTATGGCCCTAGGCACGCCAGCCGTTCCTCACATGGTTTGGTTCATGGATCTAGCCCCTGTCAATTTTAGTTTGTTTGGGTATGGGTGTGACTGTGCCATGACACTTGGAAGCGTCACCGCGACGTGTCCACAATGTCCCGTGATCAAGTGGATCCTGACATGTGACAAGTCGTTGCCGTGGCATGATCTGAGGAAACGTCTAACCCAAAGCCGGGAGTTGCCGCAACAAGATTGGTTCAATCTCGTAACACCAAGTCCTGTCCAGAAGTAGTTGTAATGTTGAGAACGTCGCGCATTGCTAAGCCCTTCAGCCCAAGTTCCCATCTTCAGAGAATAACCCTTTTGAGGAGTCGCCACAACGAAGTATCCCTTTTTGGGGAATAGTCGTGGCCCAAGTGTTTGTCACTAATAGCCCTGGGCCTAGTGTAGAATCATAAGACCAATTCCACAGTAGTGGTCTGACTGCCTTGCTATCATTGACACCATCCACAGTTGTTGACTGGGCAGTAGACCCTTAAGTCCTACTGAGCGCAACACTGTCAACTGCGACACAATACACCGAGTGGTTCGAGAGTAAACTCTGTAAAAGCGCAAAAATACGCCCTTATAGAGCTGTTGCAGGGCGCGTCTGGTAGCCAGCCTATCACCATGATCTGTGATAAGATAACCCCATGTCAAGATAAGATAAGATGATCAAAGAAATGATGAAAAAGTGATTGAATCATGACATATCTAGTCTAAGTGTTTAGCCACAATGGTCTCTTCACTAGCACAGTGGAAAGGCTTACCTCAGTATGTGGTTAAGCATACTGAGGAGAAAAGCTTGTGGGACAATTTGCCAGGACTACAGTTGCAGCAAGATTACTTGCATTACCCAATTAGGTAGTTACAATCAATCTGACATTGACAAGCACGCTCCATAGTCAACTACACTTTGTACCATTATGAGCACATCTATACTTACTATAAACACTACTGGGCAGCCCATAAAGTGTGTTCACATGACCTGTCACCTCAAAACACGCAAAACTCATCACTCTCCATAATGAATGTAGAAAAAGAACGACTTTTATTGGATTGACTATTAATATCTGTTGAAGTGTGGAAAGGATGTCTTGCTTAGTTCAGACAAAAGAGTGTTACTTAGCTATGTGACCATCAGCATATAGCTTCAGATCAATGTGACAGACTGGGCTTTTTGCCTCCCATCTGTGCCCCTAGCCTTCTGCGGCTCCTATCTGTGTTTTCTGTGTTCAACAATATCCCATACTTATGTCTATGTATCTGATATCTTGAACACAGTCTCAAATGCTCAGAAAGGCTGTAGATGAATAAGGACAGAATGAATTTGATTGCAACTACAGTACAATTGCTCATAACAAATACGGTTATGTGGAATATCCGCAGTTTGGAATACGAATTTGCCCTTCCCGACTTGGGAAGGCCTGTATATTCCATAATCTGTATTCCGGAATATGGAATACACTTTTGGGGGTCATATTCCTTATGGGGGATGTCAATTTAAGGTGCGCAACAAGGTCGTGGCTCAATCCAGAATAGAATGGCTACTCTAGATGCCCTCAAACAAGCTTCTATTGCATCTGTATCATAGTCTGCACATTTTCTGTGCTTCCCACCATGCCCCCCGAGCGTCCTGAGAAGAAGAGAGCCGTCTGCCAACAAGATCGCACCGCATCAAAGGCGTAGACGGATCTGGCTGACACTCTGAACCAACTTGCCAGGAACGCTGCATTTGCGGTGATCCAGTCTCACTTAACAACTTGCTGGACCTATCTATGGAGCACAAAGAGCCTGGGTCAGAGCATCTCCACTTCTCTAGTGACGGCAACAACACAGCTGAAGTGATTGCGTACATGTGCAGAGTTGATGCTGAAGAGCTGGAACAGGTTGAGGCGGAGAAGAACGAGCCTGTTTTCAACTTCGATCATCAGGAGGCACTTTGTGCAGTTCGGTTAATTGAGAACATCACTCATAATTGTCCAGATTTGGATGCAGCCTTGCCTCTTGGGTCTATGTTGTGCAAATTCTGAGTTGCTGTTACCAAGGAGACGGAGGAGGCAAAGACACAGCAGGAAATCACTCAGTACTTCACTACATGAGCTCGTAGAATATTTTACGATTTTCTCTGATTTTTTTGGAATTTTTTGAACGCATTCTCTCGTACAGAATATCTACAGAAAGGAATATGGATCAGCCCTTCCTGACCATATTTGTTATAAGCAATTGTACTGTACCTAATCAGGTAATGCAAGTGATCTTGCCACAACTGTATATGGGCCTGCCAATCCAGCAAGCCTATCTAACAGCTACTGTCAAGCCCAGTTACAAGTGACCTGGCATTGTTACTAGCAACAAAGGACTACTGAGTTCACATACTATGTACACTACTGTCCAAGGAACACCAAGCTGTACTGCTACATTATAGTTGTCTGGGTCATTGTAAATGAACAGAGTGTCCCAGCTGGAGTCAGCTGTGGCACCATCTATCATGCTATTGTTCAGAGCCACATTCTCCTCCTTGCTATAGAGCATGACCAGCTCGCAAAACAGAAAATCATGTTTGATGTGACATTTCATGAACTCTAGCACCTCCACAATATCTGCTTTGACTCAGTTACAGTGTTTGCTGATCAAGAGATCCCTGTCCGGGGAGCCCCTGCTTTTGTCTGATCATTATGGGATCTTGCATGTGACTGCACATGTACCATCTGTCAAGTGTCATATGCTTTGGTCTGGACTTCTCTGCCAAGCACAGCCATGTGACCCCGAGCCCAGGCCCTCATTGTTCCACTGGCCAGCTCCCCCATTGTTCTCCTAATCTGGCCCCTCATTGTTCTCTGGCTCTATTGTCTGGTGCTTCCCATTGTACTTGGACATTCATTCTTTAGGCTATATATAGTAGACCCTGAAAAGGAGAGTCTCCAACTCAGTTTCTCTTTGGACTCTCCCTTGTCAGGTTTGTCAGCCTCCTGTATTAGTTAATCCCCTTATCTGACACTTTGGACTCTCCCTTGTCAGGACTCTGAGATCGGGCCTCAAGGTTGCCCTTACAGCCCCAAAAAGACAAAGCCTGGTTTGAGAGCAGATGCATCAGCACAGATGCACTCAATGACCATAACAAGCTCAAGGTTACCACTTCAATACTTGTATCTGTTTTGCCCTTTCCTGGGAAATACAAACTTTAGCTGATTAGCCTTCCTTTCACCAAATCTTTAACACCCCTTCTTGTCTATATTGTAAATGTTCTCTGCCAGAATGTTGTATCCTCGGATGGTCTGCACAAGGAGCTTGAAATAACAATCAACAACCTGTCTATTGAGTGCCTTGGCATGCTTCAAGTCAAGACTAGAAGGGTTTTGCTTGAGGAGTGGTATATCCATTGGTCAGATTGATGCTTTCTGTGCACAACATGCAATATCCTTGCATGGGACAGGATGGCCAGCATTGGCCAGAGCTTCCATCCAGACTACAAGAATAGACTCTTGTGCAGGTGTCAGGGGAACCCCTGCTTTGGACTGATCAGCCTGGGATCTGGCATGTGATTGCACTTGTATGACCTGTTAGCTGTCACACATAGCAGCCCAGACCACTGCGCTAAGCGCTTCTCTTTGATGACAGGTGGTGCCATTGTTTCTATTGTCCCCATTTTCTATTGTTCCGTCACATAGCCATTGTACTTATTGTTCCCATTGTTTCTATTGTCTCTGTGTTGCTTATTGTTCTTATATCATATAAATAGTAGGCACCTGGCAAGGAGAATCCCTAACACAGTTTCTCTCTGGATTGTCCTTTGCCAGGTATGCCAGTCTTGTACTAGCTACCCATTAATTTACCCCTTTGGATTCTCTCTTGCTAGGACTTTGACATTGGGCCTTAAGGTTGCCCTGACAACAGTTGTCTACTAGGTGGTAAACCCCTAAGCCCTACTGAGCACAATACTTGCACCTGCAGCATGATACACTGAGTGGTTCAAAGAGTAAACTCTGTAGAAGTGCAAAAATATGCCCTTATAGAGTTGGTGCAAAGCAAGCCTGCTAGCCAGTCCATTACTCTGTGATGCTGTGATCCATCATAAGATAACCCCATGTTAAGATGTGATAAGATGATTAATAAAATGATGAAAAAATGATTGAATTATGACATATCTGTTATCACTATATTTGTAATCTGGTACAGGAAAAGGAGGTTCAACTGCTCTTCCTTCAAGGCAGTGAGAATCCTACAGATATATTGACCAAGAACTTAAGACAAATCAAGTCTGAGATGTTCAGTGTGACGATCAACCCATAAACAAAGTTGGTAAGAAAGTGAATTCCAAGACTGGAGAATGCATTACAATAGCTACAGTATTTATGCTAGTCCTAGTATGAGTTATGAGACTATGTACTGTGTGGATCATTGGTCATGGGTCATAGTAGAACCTTCTAGAGCACATGTTGTGCAGCCTCTGTATAGATAACCTCTCTGAACCCCTAACCTGGATCATGGGGTGCCATTGATAAACTGGCTATCAGACCTGCTCTCCACCACCTCTAGAAGCCCAATAATTTTGTGCTTCCAGAGATTACCCTTGTTCCTACTTGGTGTATCTGGTCGCAATAGTCAGTGTTGCATTCAGCAGGACTTAAGGACTCAGTGTCTAGCTGGTGCCCTTGAGATAGCGCCAGGACAGAGAAGGCACTTGGGTCACTGCTGTGGGACAGTTCTATCAGTTGTACCAGACTGAGGACTACCAGTGACTAAGTTCACAAAAAAGGAACAGAACACAGATGTGTCGCAATGGTAATACATTGTGACGTGGCCAAGCTGTATGGTTGTCAAGACAAAGAATTGTTGAGACATATCCAAACCTGGAGATTGTCAAGAATGGACAAGCGCAGTGTTTACCATCTTTGTTGAAATGGGGTCAGCAGGCCAGACATGTGTTCAAATTCACCAGACCACTTGGTTCTGGTCTGCTTAAACTTGAACCCATGTAAGGAATTACTGTGCCAGACAAAATGTGCCCAATACAAGATCTGTGTTGCCATATTCTTCAGGCTAGTACTACACAAACATAATGAGTCGCACTGAGGAGGATTGTTGCTGGTCTTTGAGTTATCTGTACATCACATATAACTTTGTCACGACCAGCCCATGAAAAAATGTCATTGAGACCATCCCATTGCGATGCTTCAACTTACACTCGCTAAGAGAATTCTTAGGGGTTCAGTTGGATATAGGAGCTGGTCTTTGCCAAGGACTCTCCCATATGGTCCACCACCTAAACGTGCCTGGACCTCATGGACATGTCTGTACACCCATGTGGATATAGGCTGCCTGTAAGGGCAACTCCTGCCAGCCCGAAAGAAGAGAGCACACAGCACACAACAACCTCACATGAGTCTGAGCACAGAGGGGGATCTTTAGAGACTATCAAATACAAGAGAGGATCCTTAGAGAACAGTTCAAGGATCTATGTGCCCAGGTGTCACACTATATAGTCAGCTGTGACAAGTGACTGATGATGATGGGATATCACTGCCATGGAACAATGGCAAATGACAAGTAGATGATGACAAATCCAGATAAGATAGTAAGTGGCTCAGAGGGGCCAGTGATGGCCAGCTCCTGAGACACCAACAGTGGAAGGCCACACTGGAGGAGCCCAGTGGCCAGGCCAGTGCTAGGTCAGCCAGTGGAGACATCAGAGGCGAGGACCAATGCCCGACTGGGAAGAGGGGTGGTGCAGATGAGCGCAAGGGCATCTGGTACGAGCCTGTACAGCAGTAGACCACATCCACGGGAAGAAGGCCAAAGTGAAAGGGGAGGAGTGTGTATAGCAGTAGCCCTCTCTGGTGCAAGGAATTGGGCTTGGCTAGACCGCTTGCAGGCATTTAAGGGAGATGGCCGGGAGAATGAGGAAGAGGGCGGATGTCGGCACGGATGGAGATGAGGATTGGAGGAGGAGGAGGAGGCTGGGTGATTGACAGGTGAGCAGGCATGGGTCGGCAGAGAGGGTGCAGTGGGTCACGTGCATGGTCACGTGCCCAAGGAGCGCGGCGTCCCCTGACAGGGGGAGGTGTGGGTGGTTTTTCGGAGGGCAGTTCATCAAGGTCAGGGATCTTGTCTTCAGGATGTGGGAGGGCAAGGTAAGGACTGGAGGATCTGGGTTGGTTTTGATGCGCCAGATCAGGCAACAGTGGTGCAATGGGGGAGGAGACAGACTTCCAGACAACGATGGGAATTGGTATGAAATGGTGGATTTGTGTGCTGTACAAGCACTCAAGGAGGGGTTCTTTTGCTAGCAAAAAGATCTCAGGCCTAGCTCTTCATGTGCCCAATGATCCCGAGGTGTGTTTTCCCAAAGGTCTCTGCATGTGACAATCAACCCAAAAACAAAGTCGAAAAGAGAAGTGAATTCAAAGACTGGAGAATACAACCAAGTAGCTACAGTATTTATACCCAAATCCAGTCTGAGTCATATCTACAACTAATGAGTCATAAGGCTATGTACCGCATGGAGCACTGGTCATGGGTTGTAGTAGAACCTTCTGGAGCATATGTCGCGCAGCCTTGAATCGATAAGGATAATCCCTGGAACCTCTAGCCCGGACTGTCTGATGCCGTGATCCGTGATAAGATAAGTTGTGCCAAGATAAGATGAGATCGTCGAAGATAAGATAAAAAGTGGCCAAATTATGACATTACCCCCTCTCTAGGGTCGATGTCCTCATCGACTAGGCCAATGGGTGTGAAGGCGTTCTCGTAAGGGTCAAAGAGTTGTCGTTGGGGGTATGGGAGGTGCTCGTCTCTGGGTTTGTAGCGATGGATAAGATAATCCCAATGTCCAGCTTTGAGCGTTGGCAGGAGGCGAATGCGTGTGTCTGGGTTGGATTGTTTTCTCTGCCAATCTCTCAGGACTTCCTTCGCGTGCGTAAGGTGACGTGATGGTTCCCAGGTGTTCTCGCTATGCGGCCATCCCTTCCACTTGACCAAGTACTGTTTTCCTTGGCTGACGTTTCGCTCTTTCACGATTTCTTTGACTTCC